TAACTCTTTTAATCTACTCTTTTTTATTTAAAAAGTAGTTAATATCCTATTTTTCGTATTTTTATAAAAAGAAATCCTTAGCTTAGGCCTAGGGTAGTTTTCTAATTACGTTTTTAATTAAAATTTAATAATCTCTTTTTATAATATATATAATAAGCTTATTTTTAAATCGGTTTAAAACCCTACCGATTTTATATTAATTTTTAAACTTTTTTAAAAGGTTTATAATATTATTATTTTTAAAAACTATAGTCCCTTTTTAACTAGGGAACGGTATTTTATAAAAACTTATATTCTTTATTAAATTAAGCTAAGGAATTATAAAAACTTTAGTTTAAAGCGTAGTAGTTTAAATCTAAATAATAATAGCGCTTAGGAAGGTATTAATTAAAATATTTATCCTAACTTAAGCTATAATTAGTTTTTTTTTATTAAATTAGTAAATAAATTTATTAAAAAGGGTAGCCTTTTTATTATTAAATAACTCCATAGCTTATAAGTTTTAATAAACTATAAAAACTAGTTTAGTAAATAATCTATTTAAAATAAAAGGGTTAGGTTTATATAATTAAACGTCCTAAGGGGTACTAATAATAATAAAAATAATATATTAATTATTTATATTTATAATCCGAGGTTATTAAAAATATAGTTCGTTAATTATATTTATAATCTTAATAATCTTATATTAGTCTATTTATTTTAAATAGAATTTAAAAAAAGAAGAGAGGAGCTATTTTAATAACTAAAGCGTAGCTATTATTTTAATTAATATAATTTAAGCCGTTCTTTTTAATCCCTATTATATATATAACTAAAGTTTTAATTAAACGTCGTATTAAGCTTATGGTAATATTAATTAAAATTATTAATAAGTCTAGTTAAAAGCTAGTTTTATAAGTACTCTTAGCTTAATATATCCGCACTTCTAAATAGGTTTATTATTAAATCTCTAAACTATATTAATTAATAAAAAGAAGTTTAGTTAAATAATTAGTTATACTTATTAAAATATTTTATTAATTCTAATTTTAACTCGTTATTTATCTTGTTATACTATTATAGTATTTTATACTTAGGCCTAATTTAGTCTTAAGTATTTACGTTTTTTTTTTACTTATTTATTTCGTTCGCCTTTTAGGGTTTATTATATCCCCCGTTTTATTAAATAAAAAGCCCTTTTTTATATATTTTTATTTTTATATTTTAATTATCTAGTTACCTTTTTTTAAATTAGAATCTTACTATTTATATTTATTTTAATTATTACGCCGTTTTCCTTAATTAATTATTTAAAGTATTTCTAATTAAATCGGGCTTTTTTTTACTTATTTTTTTTATTTAATAAAAAAGGAATTTTTAAAAAAAGAGATTATTAAAAATATATAGGGTATAAAGAACTCCTATAGTACGGTATTTTAAAAGAACTACTAATATTTATAAAAATAATATAAAATACCTCTTTTAATTAGGTTAATACGATCTTAATTAATAAAGCTATAATTTAAAAAAAAGAATAATATTAACTAAATTAAAAAAGTAAACTTCTTAATTATTTTATATTATTATATATAAAAATAAATTATTAAAAAGGCTCTAGTTTAATTTTAAAAAGTATATATATAATTAAAATAAAAATCCGCACTACTAAGCTCTTATTTTTAATCGGGGCCCTTTTTTTTATATTTTATTTTAATTAGCTCTTTTATAAATCCCTAGACTTAATTAGTTTTAAAAAGGACTGCTAGGACTAATTACCCTACCCTATTTTAGTAATATTATCTATAGATCCTCTTAGTTTAATAAAGTATAGTAATCTTTAGGCTACGCTACTCTGTATAAATAGGGTGTATCTTAATGTTACTGCGAATAAGATAAAGAGTAGAGCTAATCTAGCATAGTAGGATAGGAAAGTATAAGTCCTTCCTCATTCGTATGGCACCACTGTTCTGTAACTGGATTCCATTCCCAGTACTCGTGTGCTGGGTCATTCTTAAACTCATCTACGGCTGGAATAGAACTCCAATCAAAGTCTTCGACGCTGATGGGAGCTGGGCATGGGTTCGATGAAAGTGATTTTTGCTGAGAGTGCTCTTGATGTCCGCTGAGTGTGATCGGCAGTTGAGATCCGACAGCGGGATAATCATTATGACACTCCTCTGGGTCATCCTTGGCGGAAGCTCTTGTTTCTGATAAAACTGAGTTCTCAGTTTTGTTGTTCACGTTGGCCCGCTGTGCGGTCGACCGTCCATCATCCTCAGGACTTACGCCGTCATCAAAAACGGTAGAGGGTGTAGTCGCAATTGACAATGGGCAACCATAGCTGCACTGAACATCCTCAGAAAACTGAGTATTATGGCAGCTCAGATAACCAGAGGATATGGACCTTTTGGGCTGTCTTGGCCGTGAATGTGAATGCCTTGGTCGCCATGAGGCTTGACGGGGGTTACGCTTGGAGGAATTGGCGCTTCCCAAAGGTAGCCCGCTGGGTTTTCGGGCGATCGACGACGAAGTTGATCTAATAGCAAGAGGTTTTGTAACTCAAGAGGTTTTGTAACTAAAGTGACTGTTAGCAGAGCGCGTCTAGTGGAAACTGGCAGTATGACTGAATACACACCTGTGGTCATGCTGGTAGGGCGTTACCCGTATTGAAGTGTTCGCAAGTGCGATCGGTAGGTGTTGGAACTTGAATAGATCGATGTCTTCATACGCAGGTACTGAATTGAACGATTGACTGAGCCAACCATTTGCTCTAGTGCCTTGATGACACTCGGGGGTTGCTTGGAGTGTTGCTTCGGGAATACACGAGATAAAAAGGGCTGAAGAAGTGACCCTTATACATGTCCAGAAATGCTCTAATTTCCTGGATAATCTTGGATTCTTCACCACAGCTGAGAAAAAGTTCTTTTAAATCTGCCTTTTCAGCAATAGTGAAGCGACAAGAGTCAGGAATAAATTACGAGGTTAAAACGAAAGTCATTGCGTCGCCATGATGATTCTGTTCTCTCCGACCGGAAGCGGCGATAGCCCTCATGGGGAGGAAGGAAAAATGCGGCGAGAAACTTTGTAATTTTGTTTGGAATTTCAGCAATCTGCAGAGTCTTACATACCAATTTACAATTGCGGTCAGCGGCACTTATTCGCGTCTATCATTCTTGCATCGGCTCTTACGAGTCGTGAGAGGAGGGGGCTTTGGGGGTGGCACCAGTGATCATTCAAACAGTCAAGGGGGTCAGTAGAGCCTGCTTTGGCGTTGCCCGGCATCAATAATGAGGCGTGCCAGCTCACCTATTCCCGGAAGAATGAGGGTGAGTAGAGCACCGATGTGTGTTGGATGCTTCAACGAGCAATGGTGGTTGCATGGTGGTGAGGGGGGAAGAACGCCTCTAGAGCTGCAGCAGTGACCGCCATATGCAGTCTTCAGCTCCCCCCTTCAAGTGTGTTCTGGCAAAAGTTATCAGAAGTAAGGCATACGTATGAGGCTACAACACCAAATTCATGACTGGAATTGTTTCGAGACGGATACCTCCATTAATATTTCATGATATAGCTTGAGGATTTTGGTAGGGCCGCCCCTCCCATCTTGAGCCTCTCCCTTCACCCCCCTGTCGAGCCGGTCTCTCCTCTTGAAAATCGGTAACAAGACCGATCCTGATTTGCACATCTGATTTCGGAAACGAGATTTGGCACTAATGACAGATGTCTCTCTGCTGCGGACTAGGCTTTCCAGACTTTTCGTGGTTTCTACCCCACCGCCCGCCTGCGCTCGCTGGCTGACCGACTCAACATCATAGGGAAGGGGGGGCATCCGCTCGGCTTCTTAAGCGCAAGTAAGACCCGTTTACAATATAATTATTCTTTGTAATTGCGCCATGATTTGGAGTTCGTAGGCATCTATAAAATCATAGAAGGTTGAATGTGTTGGCAGCCAAAGGCACCTGAGTCGAATGACGTGGTTGTCGACATATACTTTCCTCATAGACCCAGTCTTCGCCTATCTCAATCTTTGTCACAGATCCCTTCCCAGCCTGATCAGTCCACCGTATCGGTATATTCGCGGCTAAACCGTCTATGTTACGACGAAATTATTAAACATCGCCATGAGCAACGCTATCCCTGCCCATCCACTCATATAGAAGACGGAAATCTAAAAGGCTATAATAATATAAAATAGTAATTATTAAATAAATAATAAAGTTTCTTTTTTAAAAACTATATATAAATATAATTATATATATTTTAAAAAATACTTAGCTAAGATACTTTATATTTATAATTATATAATTAGGCTTTCTTTTAGCTACGGTAGCTATCTTCGCGGCCTCTAAAAGGCGCCACCTGGCTGGCTAATTCATCGCCAACACCTCCTACATACCGCCAAGCTAAGCTTTTGGATTATTCGAAATAGTGAACTCCACCGCGTCTTGGACCTCCTTGTGCTTCCACGATACTTACGGATTAGAGGACACGTTGACTTACCGATGTCGTTGTCGATGCACAAAGCACATTTACGATTGCCGCAATAGCGTCATCCTGGAAAGCACTTGAAAAGGATCTTTCCGCTACGAAAACGTTTTCACACTGGGCTGTTTCTGTGATATTATAGTGATTATAAGAGTGAATCTATCGCCGTCAATAATCCGTGGTTGTGAACTTTGCAGGAGGGAAAGTTGAAAAGTCGGAAAATCTAAAAAAAAAAAAATCTATCGAAACAGTGGGAGTATCCATTGATACTGTGTAATAATACTGTGTAATCGATATCGAGAACCGCCCGAGCAACCAGCAAAAGCAGAACATAAAATCAAATAAGAGTGAATCTTGTCACTTCACCTCGGCAGACAGAAAAGGTAAATGCATCAATTTATTACTACAGGATGTTACCCACGACACGTTGTGTCCTTCCTCACCTCATTTGCTTACCCCCGACACGTTGTGTCCTTTCCTCCTCTCACTTGCTCACCGGCCTCTCGCCATGCTGCTCATATGCATTGCGGAGAGTCTTACCCTCGTCGCTTCTTTGGCTGTATCATCGCGCGTGGGCGATGGCATTCTCTCTCTCGCTGCGGTGGCGGCGAGCGACTGCGGTCGTTGCGGGGCTGCGAGTCTTGAGAATCTCTTTCTCTTTCTCTCATGTTTGGTAACAGCTCTTTCCCTTGGTTGCTTGTCTCTGCTTGGGCTATAGTCTCGCTGCTGCCCCCGCCCCCGTAGGGGGTCTGGTTGTTGCTTCCTTCCGCATGGTCTCCATGACTGAACTGGTTGTTGCCTCCGCCCTCGTAGAGGGTCTGATTGTTGCCTTGGTAAGGGGCTTGGTTGTCCTGAACAGGGACTTCGATGATGTTCTCTACCCCGTATGGATTGTTTGCGCTGAAGTCGGACTCGGCATATTGGTTTTTGTCCTTGGGTCTTCTAGGTGCTCCCGACTGGTTGTTACCTCCGCCCTCGTAGGGGGCCTAGTCGTTGCTCTTTGTCCCGTAGGGGTCGTTTGGGTCGTAGCAAGCTCGACATAGTCGTTATTGTACTCGGGACGACTGTCGCGTCGATTGAATAGTCGTGACTCGTTGGTCATGTTGGCACAAAAGCGTTCAATGATCTCGGCACTTTGTCGGTTTTGCGTAGCAATGGCCAGGCTCATCTCTGTCAGATGGCTGACGTTGGTCGCTTGAGGGTTCTGCTGTGGTGGCATTGGCCTCGGCATATGCCTCGGCATTCGCCAGTTTCCTGGTGGTCTGTCGCCCATTTTGTGACTTTTGGGTTTTTGGAGAAATTGAATGAAAAGAATGGTGGGTGAGAAGAAGAGAAAAATCACAAGATATCTGAGACGACCTGGGAGGCAAGTGCTAAAAGTGTGTCCGATGGGAAGATGATGCTTCACCTTTGACTCCAGCTCTTGCCCTACTGTTCATCGTTCTTTACTTTTTAGAGAGTATTCTCTAGTGCATGTATATAAAATATAAGTGACAGTAGTGACAGTAGAGATATAGACTAAGAGGATAGAAGCATGATTTTGTTGGCTGGTATTCTATTTTGACACTTACTTGCTCCCCTCGAATCCCAAAAAACAAAAGGGAAAGAAAAAGGGCTACGCATCCCCGAGCAATCATCCGGTACGTCAAGGGAACAAGCTCACATAGGCACTTCTTATCAACTGAGAGGAATTAAAACACGGGTATCCCGTCACAGTAGCCCTCCGAGACTCGAGAAGCCGTAACATCAGGGCGCTACTTATACATAGAAGGCGTCTCTTGAGAAAGCGAGAAGTAGATAATCATGTTCCATCCAATAGACTACTACCTCCCCAGACGGAACAGGCTACTTTGGTTGATGGCTCTGATGATTCATTTACATCTGTCCCTTTCAGAAGGAACCCATCCAGTCCTCCCGCTTACATGACTTTTCCTCATCACAACATCCACACGGAACTTTTCATAGCCAGACCCATACAGGAAAGTCGTTGGAACGTTCACTATCTTGCCATGTTTCTAACTTGCCTAGTCAATATGGAAAGAAGAGAAATATTCCAGGACGCTACCGCTGATACTAAGACGGTAGACGCTAAGACCGCGACACAGCAACACGTCCAACGAGACGAGCAATCCCAAAGACTAGAGACTCATACGAGTAGTGAGCATCACGTCCAGTTCAGATCGGCCTACTGTACTGACTTGTCGAACAGATACCCCCGGCGCGACTGCCGAAAACGAAGCCAATGCATATCGCGACGCCCTACGAGGCGCTCCAGTGTTTAGCCGCCTGGAAATCGAAATGGATCTTTTATCCGAGGGCAGAATCAGAGTTGGAGGCGACGTCCCAGAGGGGCAGTCAGTTATCGACCACGTCGCACACGACGCGTTTCTGCTCCACGGCCCGCGTGATCAGGCCCATGCAATGCTCGGTAAGATATTAGACAGCAGCACCGGCGCATACCTTACTGGCATACTGCGACTCGTCCCAGGGCCAACGGCCCCGCCGACCCCTGCCACAGCAGCAACGCCTCGAGCACCGCGCCTCGCCACAGCAGTACCATCCTCGAGACGGCCGAGGAAGAGGAGCAGTCTCGTAACGGAAAGCCCAAGCCCTGCCGCAGCGTTGGGGTTAGCCGCTGAAGCTGACGGTCTCTCAACATCATACTTGAGTTACGACAATACCGACGACGATTTCCATCCTGGCCAACGTGCCCCGTCGACGTAACATAATGTCTACGACATTGAAAGCGACTCGGAAAGCAGTCCTTCTTCACCAGTTCGCCGTCGCCGTCGCCGGAGTCGCTCTCCTTCTCTTGGGAACTAGTGGCTAAAGCAGGTGCTTCAGAACCCAACGGGTCAGAAAGAAACCAGGAGGAAAGCCAGGAGGAGGGCCATTGTACCTTGGTCGTCCAAGACGAATAAAAATAATCTACCCAACGGATTAATAAACTTTTTTTCCCTCTAGAGTTAGAAGTGACATAGATTAGACTTATATCCGTTTTGCCATAAAGCCTAATTATATAATTATAAATACAAGGTATCTTAGCTAGGTATTTCTAAGATATATATAATTATATTTACGTATAGTTTTTAAAAGAAGAAAGTTTACTATCTATTAGAGGACTACTATTTTTAACTATCGTAGCCTCTCGGATTTCCGTCTTCTACATGAGTGGAGAGGCAGGGACAGGCAAGACCAGCCAAAGGGGCATCGCCAAACCCAGAATCGCACCGCACAACAAGAAGACCCTTCAGTACTTGAACCTACATTTCTCATCTATAAGAACACATCAATCTCACAGCCATGTCGATAATCGGCCGTCTGCCGGTAGAGCTCCACCTCGCCATCATGAAGCGGATGAACCCCGAAGAGATCCAGCCGTGGATCCGAGCAAACCCTGATGCATTCAGAGGTTTTTCAACATACAGCTTCATGATTCTAAAGAACCACATTCGGGAGATGGGCCTGATTTCTCGAAGCTGAGGCCAGCATGATGGAGCTTGACTAAGGCGACGGAGCTGAAAGTGACAACGACACTCACAATCTGATGTAGAGCAGAGCAAGCGTCGGTATGCCAACGGCATTTGAAAGCATGGCGCTTGATGCTTCAACGTGGGCTGATAGTTTAGATAACAATTGAATGTCGTGCACTTCAAACGATCGTGGTTCGTGCCAATCTCCTCGGTAACGTGTGGAGTATTGCATCCAGTGATTTTTCTCGTGCCCGAATTTTACGTCAAGGTAAGCAAGTAGAATGTCAATGGTATCCCGACAAGTGCATCTCTGGCAAAACTTGCTGGCAGCGCCCTCTTTTCCTTTCGCAAGGTAGGCTGGCTTCTCAGTTATCCCGCTAGAGAGGAACAAGGTACCTTGGGACAGAGGCAATGGCGGCCCGAAAGGAAGGAAGTAGCATGTCTTGCTCATAGGCCCCAACGCAGCTGAATGCCAAGTCAAGGTACTTCCCTTGGGTTACCCGTACCTTGGGGTTCCAATGGAATCGCCCAGATTCCAATGGGGCCTGTATCCCCCGTCCCGCCACTTCCGTATGGGAGCTGATTCCACCTGCTCCAAGACACAACAACAGCAGCACCGCACACTTGCTTGCTACAGAATACACCATGCCACTTGACGAGGCAAAGTGGGCAGAAATTGGTGCGAGGGTGACGGCCGCCGTGGAGAGATGCCAACAGCGCAAATGGGCAGGCGAGGAGTCCAACCGGCTTGCCCAGAGGATTCGATCCCAATGGGAGGACTTGAAAAAGGAATCGGCCAGAGTCAACGAACTCTACGCGGACTTGGAGATCAGAGAGACGACCCTTGCTAAAGAAAGACAGATGACAGCAGCGGCCATGGAACATTCGTTGAAGCTGTTCAGCGACGACATGACTGATATGTTTAAGCCATTCACCGACGACATGACGAGTGTTGTCAAACGGATCAACGATCTCAACATTGAAAACTCGCTCGCCGCTGCAGTAGAAGATGCCATAGACAACTTTAGGATTACGACGTACGACAATACAAGAGATATCGTAGAGCAGGAAGTCAACTTGGCCAACGACAGCGTGATGGAGCTTATGCAATCCACGAAAAAGGATAACAAGATTTTTTCAATGTCATTTGGTTCAATGATCAAGCAACTCTCAGAGATCCAGTCAACGAACTTTGACATCAAGGTCAACGTAGGAAAGCTCTTGCAGGGCGGCCGCCTGCTGGAAACTCTCGAAAAGGACTTCAGTCACCTGTATGTGACCATCAACCAGAGTCAGACGGGATTGAGCAACGTGGCCCGCGGTCTCGAGGCTCTTCCCAAGAACGCCGACATCGATGCTCTGGGGACTGCGGTCGTCGAAGTATCCGGCTTGGTGAAGAGAAAGCTGGGGGATGGACTGGAGTCCATGGCCAACGGCCTAGAGGACTTTATCGAAAAGATGATGCAGAGGCAACTTGTAAAGAGCGAGAGCGACAGGTCAAGCATCATGGGTTCGGTAGACGAACTTGCGGCAGAGACGGAGACCAACATGACAAGAGTACTCGATATCACAGAGGACTCAAACAGCCACGTCACCCAAATTCTGTCGGTGCTCGTCGTCCTTCAAGATCAGCTATCCGGTATATGTACCGACATGAATACCCAACGGGACAAGAACCAACTCGATCACACGAAGCTACAGGACGGAGAGGACACGAACCTCAAGCTCCTCCAGGGCCTCGTCCGATCGCTTGAGGACGTTGGCAGCAAAATCACCGAAACGACGACCAACACGTCACCTCTGAACCAGAGAATGGCAAAGTTCGAGGAGATACTAGGGACCTTACCAGATCTCTTGAAACTACAAGCGGCCAGCTCATGGGCCGAGGGCGAGATCTCTCGCTTGAAGGCAGATTTAAATGGACACAAGATGCGAGAGGATTCCTTATGGACTCGCGGAGAGGAGATTGAAGAGAAGGCAGCCGCCGTCGCCTCTACGAAGGCCGAGAACATGCAGCTTCGGTCCAAAGTTGGGGACCTGGAGCGTGCTCTCAGGGAATGGGAGGCCATGCTCGGTCCGACAGCAGACAAACAAGCAGAACAGGACAAACGCCTCGACCTCTTGATGGAATCCCTCGAGTCTGGAGCTTCCAAAATCGAGAACTTGGCTTCCGAAAGGGACGGAATCGTGCTCCAACGGGACGAGGCCATCAGCGAGTTCAATCAAGTAACTTGTCAGATGAAAGACGTCGCCATCGAGAACAGCAAAGCATTGGCTCAGCGAGACGCTGCCATAGCAGAGCTGAACAAGGCCAACGAAGCTCTCAAAGAACACGGCGAGGTCGTGATAAGATTACAGACAGCTGTTTCCCAACTGGCTGAAGCAAACGCTAAACTGAATGAAGCGGTGTCTCAACGAGACGCTGCCATAGCGGAGCGGGACGAGGCCAATGAAGCTCTCAAGGGTCACGACGAGGTCGCAATAAGATTACAGACAGCTGTTTCCCAACGAGACGATGCCAACAGCAAGTTCAATCAAGTAACTTGTCAGATAAAAGAGGTCGCCAATGAGAACAGCAAAACGGTGTCTCAACGTGACGCTGCCATAGCGGAACTCAACAAGGCCAACGAAGCTCTCAAGGGACACGACGAGGTCGTGAGAAGGTTACAGAGAGCTATTTCCCAACGGGATGAAGCAAACGCCAAACTGGACGAGGGGATCTCTGAGAAGAAGGACCAGTCTGACGCACACAAGAAGGAGCTGGACCGACTGACTGGGGAGCGCGATGGACTGTCGGATGAGAACGGCAGGCTACGAGAGCAACTGTCTGCACTTGAACGAGAGAAGGAACTCTTTCACAAGGAGCTTGACGAAGGGAAGCAAGCACACGCCTCTACCCTTGCCGAAATTCTCAGAGTGGTGAACAACGTTTACTCGGGCCAAGAGAAGGATAGGCCGAAGCTGGACTTTGTTACCAGTAGGCACGCCGGTCCTGGAACCCAGGAAGAAGAAGGAGACCCAGGCACCGTGGGCTTGAAGAGGAGGCGCGGTCTTCCCGGCGCCGCGGAGCAGTCGTCCGAGGACGAGCTCGCCGACACGTTGGCAGAGCGCATCAAGGCTTTTGGCTTCCTCGACGACGACGACATCCACAACACGTGGAGCACTTTTATCAGGTTATTTGTGCCGATGGCTATAGGTCCGAAGAGTTAGAAGCGGATAGAGGCCTTCATAGACCTGGCGGAGCCTGGTGAAGTTTACTGCGGGCTGCAGATGGTCTTGGACGTTGACTGTCCCATGCCAGATCAGCTCGATGAAGAAAAGAGAAGATGCGGGTACCACGCAGTCGGCGAGGGGATTTGCTGGATTGCCCGGTGCACAGAGCTGGGTGGCAAGAAGCGTTTCATAATGGGCAAACGGAGGTAGAATCGGGCGTGAGCATCGCGGCGCATGGCCCAACGGGCAGATTCCAACGGAATTCAAGAAGAAATACTTTGGAGGATCATATCGTTATAGTATATACATGAATCCTTTTGTTTCTTCTTGGCAAATTTCGGCGAGCAACGGTATTGCGTGAAGCCTCATGAGCGCGCTTCACCATCCGCGCCAAAGGCTTGTATGCTAACGTAGCACTACCGTGGGGACCTGGAAGGCCGAACACGGCGCCCTGGCAAGGTGAGAGCGGTCCTAAGCCTACCCCCAATGCCCTGCCGTAGGGGGCTGTAGTACAGGGGTGTCGTAGCTTCCATTTCCCAATGAGTCGATGTTGATGGATCCTTCCCGTTTCTCCCACTTGCATCAGCATCATTCCAGATATGCAGCATCGATGATGGCGACGAATACGCGAAATCCATTCAGGCCAATTGCCCTTTTAGGGCGAAACAATCAGATTTCAAACTTGCGGCATTTGCGGGCCCTAGCCATCGCCAATAAAGCCGACCTACAGGCCATACGTTCCGGAGTGGACGACTTGGCAAGACAGCATGGTTTCGACCGGCACAACGTGCCCATGGTTAACAGACAGCCCGACACGACAGGCAGCCACTCAATTAAGGAGATTAAAGAAACCTCTCAAGCTTTGGTGGAGGAACGTGGCAGATTTGTGAAGATGAAGAGTGCAATGGAGACGAGGGCCGGGAGTATCGACAAGGTCCTAGCCGATTGCCAGGACATTGCTCAGCAAGGATTGCCTGAGATTTAGGACGACTTTGTGGCACGGTTGACATCTTTGATTGTACAACTGGTCACCGACAAGCAAGTACCGACATTGCCGGACGGCCCGGAAGCGCTAGCAGAGTGGATGGCAGAGTTGCATCGCAAGCTGCCACGAAGTCTCGTCAACGACGCACGCGATCCCTTGGAAGGAAGCCAGATAGCCGAGATTGACCGACTGGGAGGCCGACTCCTGAGCGAAGGCGATGAGTTGATCCGGCTCAAGGGACAGCTACGGGAAAGGAAGGACGCGGATGCTACTTTGGACGATGCTCATGCCAAAGCAAGGGAGGAATGGGAGGAGAAGATGGCAAGCAAGGAGAAAGAGCTTGCTGCCATGGCAGAGAAGGCAGCAACGCTGCAGAGGTCTGTCGAAGCAGTCGAGAAAGAACTACAAGTGGCATGTTCCCAGTTCAAGTCACAGGAAGAGTCGGAAAGCGAGGAGGCAACCCCATGGGATGCGGCCTGTCAAAAACAACTTGAGGAGGCCGAGACCGAACTGGCATCGCACGCGGACACGATCCAGAATCTCCGCCGAAAGCTCCAACGGCTGGAAGAATCGTCAACGGAGACCGATGCGAGATTAGAAACAGAGAAGCACCTACGAGAGAGCTCAGAACAGCGAGAGGCCACAGCAGAGGCATCCAAGGAATCAATCGTCGAAAACCACCGAGTTGAGGTAGGAAAGCTCAAGACAGAGCTCGAGGCACAAAGGAAGGCAGCCCACGAAGCATGCTGCAAGATATTTAGACTAGAGGTGAAAATAACCAACGACACCATCAAATTTAATTACTTGATGGAAAAGGGGGGGCGCGAGAGCGCAGCAATGGCTGCTCAGCTCGAAACGGCCAACGGCCAGACGCAACAATTCGGCGGAGAGCTACAGGAGGTGAAGAGTGAGTTGGAGAAGCAAAGGCAAAGAGCAGTCGTCCTGCAAAACCGAATGGTCTCGGCCGGCGCAGAAACAGAGAAGGCCAAGGACGACATACAGGAGCTACAGCAGTCCAAGTCGGCACTAGAGGCAACGGTCAAGTCTCTCACAGGCGACAAGCTTGAGGCGTCAAAGACGACGGAGGTCTTGAGAGCCGACCTCGACACGGAGAGAGTCAAGGTCGGCGAACTGACATCGAGTTTGAACGAGATCAAGACGTCATATACTGATAGCGAGCGGCTTCTACGAAAGTGCCAGGACGAGTTGGCAACAAGCCGAGAGGTGAATGACATGCTTACGAATAAGATGAGCGAAAATCTCAGACAGTCCCACGAGAAAGTCATGGAACGAGAGAATGAGATGGAGGAAGCAGCAACGGCCTTGCGAGAGACGATCAGCTCGCTCAAAGGGAAGATCAACGACCTGAAGACCGCGGAAACGAATAACAAACACAAAATCAGCAATCTCGAGACTGACTTCAGAGGACTCAAGGTCACAGAGACCGAGGACAAGCAGAAGATCCGCACGCTTGAGGGCCAGGTCAACGACCTAGAGGCTACAGTGTCCGTCAAACGACAGACGATCCAAACGCTCGAGGCACGCGTCAGCGAATTGCAGACCGCAGGGGCTGAGGACAGGCAAACGATCCACGTGCTAGAGGGACGGGTCAACGACCTACAGGCCATAAAGACTGAGGACAGGCAGAAAATTCTCGCGCTCGAGGGACAGGCCAGCAACCTACGGGCCGCAGAGACTGACAAGCAGCAGACTATCCATGCACTCGAGGGACAGGTCAGCATCCTACGGGCCGCAGAGACTGACAAGCAGCAGACTATCCATGCACTCGAGGGACAGGTCAACGACCTACAGGCCACAGAGACTGACAAACAGCAGACAATCCGCGCGCTCGAGGGACAGGTCAACGGCCTACAGGCCACAAAGACCAACAAGCAGCAGACGATCAACGAACTCGAGGGACGGTACAATGCCCTGGAAGATACCCACTCCATCACGAAGGCGCGACTATCCGACTTCCTTCGCGAGGCAGGCCCTGGCTTATCTAGCGCAATTGTCGCCGGCGGATCGGAAAGCACAGTGGTGGAATACGAACCATTGCTGATCTGCCAGACCTGGAACGGCAACGCCGTTGAGCCAGACCTCTCGGCGCAAAGCATGGTCAGCATCGTTGCTGCCATCTTTTGCGTCTTTGACAAACCGGCATGGGACGACTGCTACGTCGGCGCCCTGATGCGACGACTCACGGAATGTCTGGGGGAGGTCAGCATCGTCTACCCCCAAGTGATGAGACAGCTGGTCGAAAGATGCACTGAACGCATCGCCGAGGTAATTCCTTCTGGAGACCGGCAGCAGATACTGATGACACAGCTCTCTGCAGTAGCCGACGTGCTCGCCGCGCGGTAGTCGAGCCTGCAAGACTTGGCTCCGGCACCCGACAGCATACTTGCCGAGATGAAGGCTCACTGCTCAGACGCCGTGCCCAAACTGTGGCGGGATGTGACAGAGATGGCGCCACTTCTCGAAGTCGAGGACGAATCTGTGAGAACGTGGACTCGCCATCGTGGAATGACTCTACGCCTCGACAACGTCGATGTGATCAAGGCCAGTGCATGGGAAAAGGCAATTGTTTGGCTGCGCGGCTCGAGACGCTTTTGGTTCGTCGAGGCCAACGGCGTCAAAGCCTTGGGGTACAATGAGGGCCTCATGGCCCCAACGGGGTTAGATCAAGACAATATCATCCTCGACATGACCCGCGGCGTATGCTGGGATTGGTGGGTATGGGCGGGTTGGGTGTCGGGTGATGGAGATGAGGTAGCATAAGAAGCTCAAACATCCTTCAAGGGCGGGCACTACGTGCTTTCGAGAGGCCCAAGCTGGGCATGAATGGGACAAGATAGTACTATATACACATTGGATACCATTGCGCGGAATCAGTTTGCAGGTGCATATGTGTCGTGGTCCGATGCCCTGGCAGCCTCACCTGTGACTCACTTGTGCCCACGATTCGACCATGTTCACTTTGCATGTACGGATATGTGCTCAATGTAATTTCCATTCTAATCAAGTAAGCTGCCCGCCCTTTCCTCTCTTCCCGCCTTTCTTCCACCAGACCGTTGGTCCGTCCCACTAGTGGGGCCTGCTAACCAAATTTACATGTTGTTGGCGGGTACGGTGAAGCCAAGCACTGGCTGGAAAGCCCCCATCCTGCTGTGTAGGTTGTGATATCTCCCAACATCGCTGGGAGGCACCCGTTGGGCGCGGAGTATTTCCTCGAGGATCTTGTTCTGTAATGGTGTATTGGCTGCGTTGTGCTCTACAGAAGTCTCCATGTCTTCAGTGTCGTCTCCGTGCTGAGAGCCGTCCCCGTGCTGAGAGCCGTCCCCGTGCTGAGAGCCGTCCCCGTGCTGAGAGCCGTCCCCGTGCTGAGACCCGCCCCCGTCCCGAGAGCCGACCCCGTCCTGAGAGTCGTCCTCCCCGACCGAGTCGCGTATCGTGCTGGGCCATTCCCGCTTGTCCGCTCTTGTCTGTTCTGTCAGCGGCTCGTTGGCCGGTCCAGACACGTCTGATCCGTTATCTGGGACATAAGTGCCATCTTTGTCACCCGGGTCAATGTCTTGACTACTTTCTTCAGACTCTGTTAGTCTCAGCGGCATGTCTGAGCCACTTGTTCTTCCTGATTCGCCACGTGCAAGGCGAGGTACCGTTGACCTTCCGGGCTTGTCTCTGCGGTCCGCTGGCGGTTCGTCAGATTCGTCGCCTGATGCATCCTTCATCTTGGCGTCATTCTCTACCCCGCAATATCGCGAGTAGGGCTCACTGTCGGGGATACCGCGACGTAGTCTCTCATTGTTTTCGCGAGCATTTCGTCGTCGCTCGTCGAGAAGTTCACGTTCGTAGAACTCGAGGAATCCATCCTGGTCGGGTTTGTCGGCGAACTTGCCCTTGACCTTGATTGCATTGCGGCCAAAGGCCTCGGCTGTGAATGCCCCGAAAGCGGGATGACCCATGGCGGTGGTGGTGTTGTTGAGGGCCCTGGTGATAAAGTTCAATTCTGGCGCGCCGACCGCGTAGGGTCGGAACACTTGGCCCCTCGTCCGATCTTGCATTCCCTTGATCTTGCTCCTGGCCCTGACGTTGGTCTTTTCCTTGGCACCCTCTCGTTCAAGCGCCAATAGAAACTGGGAATAGGTGGACTTGAACAGTTGGTGCCTGGTCAATCGGCTTCTTGCCAACTGGTGCAACTCTGGAATCGGCTTTCCCAGTCCCTTGTGTTCCCCAATCACCTTGATAAAGGCAGCCAAAAACTCATCACCCGTAGGGTTCCATAGCGGCCAGTCCTGATGTTCTCCCTTGCGCACAATGACCGCGTACTGTAACGCAAAGACAAACAGATGGAAATTCTCTTCCCAGAGTGGGTGGAAGACCAGGTTGGCCATGACCTTGCAGAAGTGAACGCTCCACTCGTCAATCTTCATCTTCTGCTCCACGCCGTCGTCGTTGCGAATGGCGACCGAATAGTTCTCGTGTGAGTCGTAGACCAGGTCGTTCTCTCTCGAAATGATTTGACGCGGCGTGCGATGCCAAAACCGCGTGGTCGCCTTCCATAGCTGAAGGGCGTGAGAGGGAAAGGAGGTGGGCGCGAGAAGAGCAGATCTCTGAGGGTCGTTTTTCCATTCGCCCCGCAGGTCTTTCTCCTCATCCCTCGTCCAGTCTTCGTCGTAGTCGGATTCCGAAAGTTTCTTTGGCAGATGCTCGTTGAGCATGTCGAGGGTGACTGGGGGGTAGTTGTCGTTCAAGTATGCCTGAAGCACCTCTTGATGATCTCCGCCTTCAGAAGTGTCTCTCAAATTTTGCCAGTACTTGTCGGCTGAAGGCGTTCGCAATGTCTTTCTAGCCTGGGCTTTCTTCTGCTTCTTCTTTGCAGGGGCGGACTTCTCATTCTCGTCGGAACTGCTGTCAGATGGGGGCCCGGCTGTAAGATCGTACACGTCCGGAGAGTCGGCCTTCCCATCCTCATCGCTGTCGCCGCTATCTTTGGACTTCCTCTTTTGCCGTTTGGCCGAGCCACGTCCGTAGGACTGATCGCTGTCAGCCTCCGTGTTGGCATGCGGTCTTTTCGGGGCCGTCGCCTTTTTCCGGGCCGCATTTCTCTTGGGTGCGCCAGCGGCATTGAGCGTACTCCTGTCGTATTGTTTCTTGGGTTTTTGTTTCGTCATCTTGTTGCTTAAGCTTGATGCGGGAACGATGGAGAGTTGTAAGATGTGAACGGGCAGCTAGGCACTCTACAAAGGAGAAGCCCACTTTCCAGGCAAGAGTGCATGGGTGCCTTGGGTACCTTGGATACCTTGAGCTTGAGGTACCTCAGTACCCCGAGGTACTAGGCCTACCTACATACCATACCTTACCTTGTGTACCCTCTAGGACATGTAGGTATCTATCATTAGCCCAGTGGGAAGCGGCTTGACCAACCACCCTGTGACAAAAAAAAAGTAAGCACTTTAGATCAAGCACTACCTCGATCCTATCATCCTCCCAAGACCCCACTCCATGCGATGGGTCACCCAAACCAGCTGACACAGTCTTCCAGGCAGAGGGCGATCTGACAGAAGGGTAAGACTATAGCCGGTTACACGGGTAGGGCGTGTTGCATGAATGAAGACTACAATTGAAGAGCAATGCAGGAAGCAACGCGGATTTGAAGATAGGTGACGTATAACGTGTATTCTGATGGTTGGCCCTACAGATTGATGTATCATGGGGACATTGATGGAAAAAAAACTACTGGTCTACTTGGCGGCTTGTTAGGTGTTCGCTCTATTCTGGTTACAGGGTGCCAACCAAAAATTGGTCACCTTGGAGAAATCAGCCCTTGTTCACCACGCTTTGAACAGTCCCTGCCGTGCGGCATTGTGTAGTGCCCAGTGCCTGAGCCACTTTGGACTTGAACTTGGTCCTTCTGGGTAAGGTGAGGTAGGTCGGGTCGGCCCGTGGATCTCACCTTACCCACGTATGATGAGCAGACATTCTTGTGGGTGGGTGGGTGAGACCCACTGGACCAATTTGGAAGCTCCGAGGGGGCCCGGATGGGATGTACACATATATGGGCCTCGTGCACAATCCTAGCTAGCAGTCCAACCTCCTACATACACACCTTGACCCCCCCCCCCCCCAATCTGAGCGCCATCTTACTGGCGACCTACGTAGGGATCCATCACAACCATCAACGCAGAACACCAAGATCATCGTAATCCATCAAAGACGTATTGCAGAACACCGTAAGCAACATCACAGCGACTTTTAATGGTCGTTGGCGCCTGTCTAGCACGAGCACGGGTCGAATCGGGGCAGAACCGTCTGCTGCCGACGTCAACAGAACGACTACCATCAACGACATCCCATCATCCCACTCCCCAATCCCATCTCTCCAATCCCATCAGTCTATTAAGCTATCTAGATCTATACCCCTCCTCGTTGTAACTAATTATCGCACTGTCCACGATTAGCCTGCTAGCAAACGCACGTACTTTATCTAAGCTAGCAGCGACAAGCTACAACCGCAGGTATGCTATACTAGAACGGGACGTAATAGACAGATCTCTATTACCCATACTGCCGATAGGTAGTATACACGATTAGCTAATTGACGACATCACATCAGTAGTAAACCGGCTTCATTTGAGCGAGCAGTCAGAGGACGAGCCAGAGCTGACACCATCCGACACAATGTCGACTCCTCTGATATTGACGCTGGACTGCGGAACATTTGACGGCTCCGTAGCTGCGTCCCGCTGGCTTGTACGATTGAAGTGGGACTTCGAACGGGCAGGTCATGACCCGACGAATGTGCCGGCGTCCCAGTATATCAAGATCTTGAACATGCAGTGCGAGAAGGATGCGGCAACCTACCTCGACAGCGTCCCGCATCTGTCCGCAATCGTTGAGAAGGCTGACGAGGGGAGGGCTACTATCGCTAATGTGACAACTCTAGATGCTGCTTTGAAAGAGCGTTTCCCGGCGAGAATAATGGGACACGTCTCGTCCGCCGGAGACATTAATTCCCTGCATTAGGAAAAGGACGAGGCTTTACTGGCCTATTACAACAGGGCCCTGTCGATGCTTCACAGGGTTCGTTGTAGAGAATCAACCATTGGAATCACATTGTCAATGCCGGAGCAGACAGTGTTGACATCCGTCGTGAGACAATTCGTCAAAGGATTGGCAGATGCGGGACTCCGTCGACAGGCGTTGCAAATTTCGGCAATGGCATCCAACAGTCTGAGATCGGCATACAATACAGTCAGAGACGCTCGACAAGTATTAGAGGAGAGAGAAGCCGAGGATCGTCGTGTCCACGATGAGATGCGTACCAAGATGCTAGAGGACGTCGTGACAAAACAGAATCCTGGACAGCCAGTCGACCAGGTCATAGCACACCAACTGGCACAGATGCAACTGACAAACCCGGTGGCAGCCAACTACCTCGGATACCTGAACCAGATCCAGCCTGTGACATTTCCGTTCTCAATTCCACAACTAACAGGTGGCTAATTAACCCTTGGAATGCATTAGATCCAACCCCAGCAGCAGATGCAAGTACAACAGTGGCCGTCCAACGCCAACGCTCCGCCCCCGTACTTCAACAACGACTAAGGATATGCCCAACCGTCGACATACAACCAGCAGCAGTCGAGCTACAACCAGCCGTCCAAGCAGTCCAATAACAGGGGTGCATATCGAGCCGGACAGGATGTCGGGTTGAATTCACGAAGAAGGATAGCAACCTGCCTAAGCTCCCTGACAGAAAGACCTCATCTAACGATTTCGTTAGCGGAAAACGCATACCCAAGGACAACGATAACATCTGCATTCGATATAGCACCGAAGGTCACAAGAGACCTAACTATACGGGCCGACAGCTACAGCCATGGGAATCGGCATACATCAAGGCATTGGTGTTTCCGTCCAGCAAGAGTTTCAACGCAGGACATCGACCCCCTCACGGGATAATCGACGTACATTCAGCCCAGATATACTACGCCCAGGACGTGGCATATCAACAGTCCGTCGTCACTCAACAGATAAACCAAAACTCTAGTACCCTGGCAACGACAGACGAGCTCAGGAACCCCTGGGACAGAACTGATGTTATTATTAGAGGCCGACACCTAGAGTTTACCCCGGTAGAAAGCACAGAGGATGTGATTCCCCCTAATTATAGAATTAAAGGAGGCACGACTGCAGGCAGACGCTCGATCGGCTGAGATCGTGGAGCTGTCGGGAAAGGTTGCTAATATCCTGGAGGTACTGTCGGATGAGTCCATCGACGCGGATGACAGAGTGTTGAGGCTCAACGCCCTGGTGGCTCAGGCTGAATCGTCTAACTCTCACAACTGGAAGCAATGAATGGAGACTATTTAGCAAAGGCCTCGGGCGCACGCTTAGAAAGTGATGAAGCTAAAGAAGACGTCGAGAGTCGTCCAACTACCTAATGCTAACTCGAGGGAGAAGGTCACTATTAATGACATCGTTAACATACCTGAACCCATGATGATGCTAGGCCTAATGGTCGACCCCCAACCGCCGAAGCGGCCGCGTAGACAAGGGTTGATACCCATCGTGGCACCAGAAGGTCTACCACCGATTAACATTCTCGAGATGGCTAGGAAGATCGTGTTGGATGTCCCACTGTTGGATCTGATGCAATTGAGCCCTGAGTTCTTAAAAGCCCTGAGATCCATGTCCCAACGGGTTGTGGTGAAACGACCCAAGAAAGACAAGGGAAAAGGCAAGATTGCAGAAGCACACTCAGTCCAGATTACACTGAATGCAGCGGGTCACATCACGACAACTAATGACCCAACGTCAAACATCCGCTTGTTCTCCAAGCGATATGCGGCAATAAGACCGTTCAGAGTGGACTGCATAGTTATGACGGCGAGTACCAAACACTATGTACTAGACAACGCAGCCCAGGCGGACCAAGGTTCGGAGATGAACATCATCTCACCCAAATTGGTGAAGCAGTGCGGTCTCATCTAATACCTATTAGCCGGGATCGGATTTGAAGGACTGAAGATGGGAGCAGTCAACGGAGCGGCATATTTCATGACGCACTTCGTGGCGATGGACGTTGTGATCCATGGCATCAAGCGAGAGATATGGGCAATGTCCGCACTCAAGACACCGACCAATCCGTTCTGCTGCTCTTGGGCATGCCATAGTTGTTCGACGTCCGAGCATTGATCGACCCCTAGGGAGCCAGGATAATCATTAGCAACACCAGCATCGGAGAAACGTTAGTGGAAATCGAAGGACCCGCGATGGATTTAGTAGAATCATAAAAGCTGATTTCGAGTCCTACTAACGACCATACGGACCTAACTAGTCGGGACAGACTGCTAGGGATCGTGGACTTCGACGACGACGATAGCTCAGACGACAACGCGGATTCAGATAACGACTATTTAAAAAACGACTAGATCAGAACCGACCTAGGTAGGCCGTTAAACTATAACTGTCCGTGGAGGAATAGGCGCCGATACTACGAGATAAGTCTAGACAGGACTTTAGCAAAGGGTACTCTCATTTAAGAACGCATCTAGTACCTAGCCATGTTTATATGCACTAAGAATAACGAGGGATAACGAATAGAGAAAGGAATTTACCCTATTTCATACTTTATTAGCAACAATAAACAAGGGAGATGTTACACGTCCAGTAGAGATGGGGAACAGACACACGCCGGCACCCGATACTATATATTCAGCATTTCCTACAACGAGGAGGATCACGCAGTTAAGCATAGACAAATCTATACCTATAGTCGACATCGATAAAGTTTAGGACGCAGATGCGGCAGATCGGCCAGATTGGACACACCTTAACGAAGCCGTCGATGTCCTATTCCCAAGACGGCGGACAACAGTCGGAGAGCCGGGGACCACAGTCGACCCCCCCTTACCCCCCCCCCCCCCCCGACGAGGATATGGGCAATTTAGTGGCGGAGGCCTTAAGAACGGAGGTTCTGTCCAACTAAGACTAACAGATCCCTAAAGTAGTATTCTCAGATACTAAAAGTCTAATTCCACTCATTACAAAGTATCTAGTAGCAGTAGTAAGAGGAAATGTGGACGAGCTAAAAGGTTTATTAGGATAGATAAAGAACGAGTGGTTAGCGATGACGTGTCTAGACGCAACTCCAGAGGTCTGCGAGGTAGTAGCAACATGTTTCAGCGCGCCGGCATTAGTTACGATAGACCCAACCAGGCTGGACAAGTAGTAAAGAGACGATTAGTACTCGGACGTCTGCGGGTTTTTAATGTGCGAAACGACGAATCTCAACAACCACGAGCTGAGGACTCTAAAATCGAGGGCATAAGAGTACGGAATATCAGACAACACGTTGTACCACAAAACGCGGGATGAGTGGAAGAGATGTCTAGTGAAGTCAGAGGTTGCCCAAGCTTACAAGAAGGCCCATGATGACGCCGGCCATTTCGGACCGAACATAACCAGACGACGACTAATCAAGACTTCTACTAGCCAACGATGTCACACGACATTACCAGCTACATCAAGGGATGTTGGCCATGTGCGAGCGTGGCAGCAGAGCAGATATTACACGCAAACCAGACGGTTGCCATTTCCCACCCACTGCAAGTAATGGGCCTCGACCATCTGGGACCATTGCCAAAGACAAAGAAGGGCAACACACTGATTCTGATTTGGGTCAACTATCTGAGCAGATTCTGTTAGGCGGCACCGACAAAGACTTCGTCGGCAGCTGAAGCAATCCCCGTCCTAGAAAGCTAGTCAAACACCCTGGGAGCAGTGCCCGAAACGATGTACCCAGACGCAGGAGGTGCGTTCGCATCGGCTGAATTCAAGACAGCCATAAGAAGCCGGTCAATCGAAGTTATACCAGCCCCGGCGAAATCACACAAATCCGTGGGCATGATTAAGAGACATATCAGATTGTTAGTGGACATCCTAACGAAGGGAATGCTAGACGGGACCGTACCGACAGATGAATGGGACGATCACCTACAGGGCGGATTAAACAAATTAAACAGCAAATAGATGTCGACGGTAGGGTTTTCCCCAGCGGAGATATTCATAGGATAGGAGACGTCTAAAGCAAACATCATACAGCCGACGAAGCTAAGACGACTGCCAGACCCAGATGAACTCGCCGACATTGCCGTCAACTTTATGGCCAGGACGGATGCTATCAGACGAGACATCGCTGATAAGAACAAATCAACTAACGAGGCAAGGATAGCGAAGCATAACATAAAGACGAGCGAACCGTTCCGGCGTGGTGATCTGGTGATGTTGGCACAGGATAGGAAGCCACCTAAGTTTGAACCTCGATAGCAAGGACCATTCGCAATTAAACATCGAGTCGGTCGGGTCTTATATATGATCGAACAATTGGACGGGACACCGATACCTCACCATCGACATTGGGACTAGTTAAAGATAGATACACCGCGAGAGGGATACCTACAGTCGGGGGTTGACCTCAGGCTGCCATTCACCAATTTGCTTCGACGAAGGCGAGGAAGGAACGATTCACAAATTGACCGCCTTTAACACCCACGACAAAAGAAGTAAACAAAAAGGGAGAATTTTTACGCTTTTGCCAGTTCACACATCTTACCTACCTTCCTACCTACCTCACGTCGTGGCCCCTCACCTTTCCAATTTTCCTCACACACCCACACACTGTTTTTTCTTTTCCTCCCACACCTATACACTTACCTGAATTTCCCCCATTGCCTACTACGACGATACTTGCAATCCATCCTACCGAACGAGACAAGCCGCATCCGACACGACCTACTATAGTGGCATGCAGACGGACGCGGACCGGCAACCGATCGTAATCGACCTCACCCATATCGACGACGATTCCACAGATTTTTCATCAAGTAACGACGAGTCAAGTCTTCCAAACACCCCCGAAGGAACTGCTGATCAGAGACATCCATCAGAGCCAAGCAAGATGCGTCGCGCCAGAAACAACGGATCGGGAAAGGACACCTCGTCGGCCGGGAACACCTCGTCAGCCTCGTCTACCCCGGCAAAGAAGAAAGTCCCCCCTTCTTCTAGTTCCCCGATTGATTCCAACCTGACCGAAACTGATGGCACTATCGGAGGATTGACCCCGACGTCCGCTCGCAAAGCCATATTGGCAGCCTATGACAAACTCAATAGAACGCGCGGCATGGAGCATATCATCTCCAGGAAGATGATAGATGATATGAAGGAGCTGTTGACACCCATTCTGGCGGGAACCACCGTGACATTCACAAACAGCACTGTGTACAAGGCCATCAGCTCCGTTCTGACCGCCCGAGTCAAGGAGGGAGACCTGTCGCAGGTAATCCCAGAGTCGACCTGTTGGGCGGCGGCATTGAGATGCGTCGCATTGCCTCTCACGGAAGGGCAGGGCCCGGAAAATTCCTTCAGGAAAGACCTGAAGGTAAGAAGCACCATCATGGACATGATGGAAGTGATTAGCAAGATATTGGATGGAACGATGCCGTCAGAGATACTTCAACAGGCTCCCTTCCTGAGACGCACGGATTCGATCAAGTACGAGAGCCAGAACGCCATTTCAGCATTCAAATACTTGATTGGCAGAGATGGGTCGTCGAGCTCCGACGATGAGGAAAAGAGCAAGGCACCCGTCGAGGGAAACACATCCTCGACTGATAGCAATATCAAGGGTTCTAACGAAGTGGTCGTCGACAAGACCCCATCGCTATTCAACGCAAATCCAGAGACTAAGAACACGGAGCCTGGTCATTCCCCCCGTCTTCCTCCTACAATGACAGGTGATAGTGTTCTTGGACGCAGAGTACAGCTTCCGACCATGGGATCCTCACCGTTCGGATCCCTACCGCTCGGATCCTCACCGTTCACTCGGAAATTCGGCAGCTCCCCACCCGTGAGCTCACCATTAGCAACGAATAATTATATTGCTATCAACGCAAGCAACTCAGTTCACGAGAGTACAGCTAAGCCGACCCCTGCTACTACTAAGAACAAGACAATCCAGTCTGATGCCACCTCTCAACCAAAGCCAGTTCAGTCTGATGACACCAGCCAATCTACCCCGACCGACACAACGTCAGCTGAACTAAATACAAAGGGTGCCGAGTCTTCAGCTATCCCGACAGCCGAGCACAGATGGGTCACATCCAACTCTCAGGGAAGTCCGATCCTCAATAATAAATTCACCGATCCGGCAGTCACGAGCCTTAAAAGACCTTTGGTCGACAGTCGATGGGGGACATCCCCGGCACAGCCAATGACGGGAAACATCCGGCAGTCAGAGTACAAGAAGCGATCGGCAGACGATGTATTTGGACCGACAGATACCAAGGCCATCCCCGAGAAGAAGCGCAAGCGCTTGCCGCTGTTCGACCCCCCCACTGAGATGAGAGACATGGAGGCAGAATACAAGCAAATGTGTCACACCCGTCATGATCAGCAGCCTTTCGGCATGGCCCTGCAGACTTCATCCTTGGACGCGAGCCGTTATAATGACACCCAACAGCAGCCCCCTGACGTACCTCAACAGACTCATTATGATGACGACGAAGGCTTGGTCCTACAGCCACAGGAATCAGACACGGCCCGACTGGAGATCTCGGATGTGACACAACAGGACGACACTATCTACAGAGGATTAGATTCCTCGGAGGGATCATCGGACGGCGGCAGACAATCACCTATTAAGGACAAGGCGGTGCCTCTCAACACCACGCAACGGGCGGCGATCTTCGACCGTCTGCATTCGTCAGTCAAGAAGCATCAGGACGACCAGGGCATCAAGCTTGACAAGTACAAGCTAATCATCGAATATTGGATGGAGGAGCATATGGACGACGGACGGGATCCACTCTCCAAGTTCGATAGTTGGCTGGATGGCAAGATGGAGAAAAAGAAGGCGAGAAAACCCAAGTCGAAAGGATCTACAAAGTAAATGAGAATCGAGATGAGTGAAGTGAATGGGAACCAACGATGGAATTGGGGGCCATCACGACGATGGAATTGAGGCCATCAGGGAACAATGGAAAAGGACAGAAAACGCAAAAACAGGATGAACAGTGTCGGAACAGGGAGTTTTGATGAAGACGAGGGAGTTTGCCTTATTTGCTTTTATTGCTGGATTCGTTTTTTTACGACGAGTTGATCCTCGATACAACATACGAGACGGGACCAATTTGGAAGCTCCGAGGGGGCGATGGGATGTACATATGGGCCTCGTGCCAAAACAATCCTAGCTAGCAATCCAACCTCCTACATACACACCTTGACCCCCCATCTGAGCGGCATCTTACTATTCTCTCCCAAAAATCCACATAACCATCTTAACCTTTTTACTTTGGAGTACCCACAACACCTCTCGAAAAGTAATGCCTGACTTCATCGTCTTTTCGCACAAAAGTCAAAGCCATCGACATGAACCCATTTTTATCGCGTAACATTGCCTCTCGCTAATGACAAAAATCAAAAATTTCCCCAGGGACATGTCGCATTCAGTACCTAGGTAGACTTCTACGCGACAATGTGGCCAATGGTGTACGGAGTACGAGGCCCTGAGACAGTGGTTTGTAAGTGGAAGGGGGCCCCTGAAGATTATCCAGATAAGGTTTTCTGCCGCTGCCACGTTCTCTGGTGACGGGTTCTGTGGGTCAAGGCATACATCCCCAAGGTCCTCCGTACGGAGTAAGTATGGTCTATGGCCTACCAGCAATTGGCCGTTCTGGGCTTCAAGACGACAAGCGAAGAAGCCATTCAGTGGCTCATGACCAGGCAGCTGAGGAGTCTTGCGAGTGAGTACTTGGTGAATAGCATCAGCCTTTGGATCTCCTGACTGACTTTGACGTTTAGAAAAGAAGGGCATCGACGAGTACCCTTGGCCGCTACCATTGGCTGAGTTTTCTTCGGGAAACCCGTCCCCCGGATACGCCTTGTGGTTCAAGCAACAGGCAAGCGCATCCCAGCCTACGGCAGCTGCTGCCCAGCCTACGGCACCGCCCAAGTCAACGGCACCGCCGACGTCAACGACACTCGCCGCTCGAGCCGACCTCGGCCCTCCGAACCGGAGTGCGGAGGGCACAAAGACGAGAGAGGTCTCTGACAACTTCTACATCCGGAAGAAGGCATAGGATGCCTTCCTAAGGTCAAATGATGTCGGAGACCTCAAAATCACTCGAGACGATGCTCCTTTCGAGATCGAACTCGATAACGAGGACATGGTGCGCCGGATGCTCACCGGTGTGCATTTCGACAAGAAAAGGGGTGTTCAAGCGACTCCCATCGCAATCGTCAACCAGATGATTGACGCCAATCTCGAGTTTGCAATCCAGCAACGGGGCTACGCCTCCAAGACAAGGAAGTCACTGACCTTGGCAATTTGGGACACTTCTGTCAGTCCTTCAACAGTGAAAATGGCAGGGGCTGTTTGGAAAATAGCCATGGATAACATCAAGCAGGCGCACGCGAGGGGAAATTCAGGCATTGGTATTGATACCTTCTTCAGTTCGCGCCTAGACAAAGGCCACATCGCAGCCAGGAAACCCGCCCCGGCCAAGTCTGTACCTCAGAATCCCCAGGTCAACGACCTTGTCACGAGTGTCGCCAAAACGACTCTCTTTAGTCAACGACAACGAGAAACTCCAGTTCAAGCGCAAGATGCTTGGCGAGGTGAGTGATGCTGCCAGATTGCTCATCGCGATTACACCGCCTCCCAACGAGGGGCCGCCATGACTTCCTACGTCGAGAGCTTTCCTGCGTTGTTCAAGCAGAAGCAGAAGGAACCCATGCCGATCACAGAAACGGAAATGATTGTCCAAATTCTGGGCATATGGCATGAGTCCGGAGGCCCTCCCGAAGGCTGGACAGATGAAGTGCTTAAAGAGAAAAAACTACCAACGAGTGCTGATGCTCCTGCTTCCTCGACCACACCTGCTCCAGGTGCACCTGCAGCATCAACGAATGCACCTACAGCATCAACGAATGCTCCCGCGCAGCATGCCCCTGCCCCCGCGCAGCATGCCCCTGCCCCTGCCCAGAGCCAACGAGCTCCCATGCCTTCCCAGATGCAGCCCAGCCCTGGCCAGTATCCCAACGCGCCTCCCAACCGTCCCCCAAACCTGGGCGGTCCCAACGCGCCTCCCAGCCGTCCTCCGAACTGGGGCGGTCCCGGTGCGCCTCCTGGCCCTACGTGGTCTCAACAGCAGCAACAACAACAGCAGCAGCGGCCTCCGCCTCACAATCAGAATCGAGGCTCAGGCTCGTATGGCCCCCAGCAGCAACGACAGCAAGAGCCATCGTACAATTACGGAGGAGAGCACGAAGACTACTATGACGATGGCCCTCGTGGTCACCCGCAGCAGCAGCAACGCCCTGGCCCTACGTGGCAGCAGCAACACCGGCAAGAGCCGTCGTATGAGTACGGAAGAGACTACGACGACTACTATGACAGTGGTCCTCGCGGACAGCCGCAGCAGCAGCAACATCGTGGCCGAACGTGGCCCCAGCAACAACCGCCCCGTGGGGGTCAAGGTTACTACGGCTATAACAACTGATAGCACCTTGGGGTGAGCTGGCTTGACGGAGCGACGAAGACCTAGGAACCCTAGGTAGGAAATGAAGGGAGGCGGGCTTTTTGGAGGGGAAGTTTAGGTAGTTTTTTGGAAGGGGAGGGGGGTGGGCATGAATAAAAAGTCATTTATAAACGTGTGTGCTTGCGAAAAGTGAAGAGTGACAGTATGCCAAACGCTTCCAAGCCGAATGAGGGCACAGAACGTTGAGGATAGCTGGAGCTCACCGTACTCCATAGCTACCATGGGGCACGAAACATCTCCTCTACACTGCTCCCAGATTCCAGGAGCCTGGCTGTTACGTCGACTCGGCGGCAACTTCCTTTTTGCAACTACCAATGCAAAATCAACAACACAACAACATCAACATGGGGTCCAATCACCACAACCCTCCTGCGACCTGCCGCTCGTGGCAAGACGTGAACGAGCAGATGCGGCAATGGTACGACTCGGCCTACGAGCTGACACTGTGCTTTCCCGATATCGCCAACGAGCTCATTGCGGCGGGCATGCTCAAGCAACCTGACTGTACGATAGCGCAGCTTCGGCTCGACCACGCCAGAGACTGGGAAACGACGGAGGTGTTGCACATCATACCGCGCGATCTCTTGCGGTCCATTATCAAAGGAACTGTGGCAATGGATTTCGGACCGAACCGGCCTCACGACTACGACGAGGACTCTAACGAGGCAGGCATCTACGTGATTGCCGTCAGTGTCGACAGCCGCGACGGCAAGTTTCTAAACTGATCGGAACTTAGCGAACTGATTACGGCATTACAAACGTATGCCGATGAACGCTACCTACTTCAGGGACACGGTCCTATGTATTGTCAAACAAGGATCTCCTCGTGTGGCCTGTAAGGCGCGGTGCTGCCATCCGTAATAGAGACCAAGTTCGAAGAGGCACCTGAAAAAAAGCTGCCGGTATAAGGTAGGCGATAGTTGCAGGAAAAAGAGCACTAGAGAGGTATAAAAAGACCCAATCATTGTTTCATTGTCTGCATAACCGCTAAAGAATGAGTTGTGCTTGAATAATCGCTGAAACTGCTCAGACCCCAAACTGGCTCTTCTACTTGAAAATATTCATGATGTACTCGACCACCAACGTGCAGACTTTCGTCATGTACGCTAAGTCCGGAAAGAAGGGCTGGATCCATTTCTGTATGAGATGTATTAGCAGTGCTGATATATTTGGTATGAAGATAACTTACGGTCAATGCGGCATTCTTGATCTACAAGAATAATGTCGTCCAGAACGACCGAGGCTTGGTGTGCTGTATAAGAATTGCCATCTTCTCGTTCATCTCTTGCAGCGCCATGTTTCCCTCCTGTAATGCCTCGCTGTTCATCTGCAGACCCCTCTGGATCGACTTGGTACCCTCCTGCAACGCCTTGTTTCCCTCTTGTAACGCCATGATGCCTTCCTGCAACGCCTTGAAACCATTCTGCGAGTTCCTGTCAACCTCTTTGATGCCTTCCTGCAACGCCTTGAAGCCATTCTGCGAGTTCCTGTCAACCTCTTTGATGCCTTCCTGCAACGCCTTGAAACCATTCTGCGAGTTCCTGTCAACCTCTTTGATGCCTTCCTGCAACGCCTTGAAACCATTCTGCGAGTTCCTGTCAAGTCCTTTGATGTCGTTTTTGAGCGAGCGATGCGACATGCGGTTCTGATGCGAGACCATGGCTCTTGGGCTGTTGTTCAGTGAAGTCATCGATCTTGGTCCGGTGATGATTGACGAAGGCTGTATCACTGGTCGTCGTGTCGTAAGGCGTGCTGCGGACCTCGAGAGTAGAGAGAACATGTCGGCGGTTTTGATGATAACGTATAGAGCTGGTTGGAGAGAGAAGGACTTGAGGCACAGTACTGATTGAAGAAAGTTGATGTTGAAAAGATGCGCTGATTTCGTAGATTTGTGCTGGTGTCAGAGCGATGTAGTTAAAGGAGACTGGTGGTGTAGCGGAGAAAAGGTTGAGAATGGGGCCGACAACCTGTAAAGTATGTAGGGTAGGTAGCTTGCCAAAAAAGAGGAGACTGCAGGGCAAGTCAGGCAGGTAGGTAGGTAGTTGCAAGACGTCAATGTGAGTCGCTATCAAGGTGCAAGAAGAGGGAGCCCGCCTTCTCCATCATCTGTGTCTCAAAAAACTCTGTGGGTGGTCTCAAGGTCGAATCTCCTCAAGTGGCAGGAACTCAATGCATCTCGACTGGAGCATTGAGGCGTGGAAAATAGGGAATTTGGACATGCGCGTCCGCTTGTTGCCTGGGACTATGTAGGAAGTCCCGTTCGAAGGCGTTCCGATGGTTTAGTCGTCGTGGGGCTGCTATTGAGATTTGAGACTCTTTGCTGTAGGCAGTCAAATCGAGACTCCTTTCCTCCGTGTCGAGGCCAGCCCGAGAAAAAAGAAGAAGAAAAAAAGGGTCGAATTCTTGAGCAAGTTTGAGTTGAGTTGTCCGACGGGACTAAACACGGGGAAAGAAAGGAGGAAAAAGAATGGTGCCAAACACAGCGCGAGTTGATTGATGATGGAGTGACGAAGGAGTGGAGGAGAGAAGTTCGTAGGTGGTGGTTTTGCTGCAGAGCAGGAATGTAAATGTCGAGTACTCATGCCCCCCACCATCACCCACTTTAGTGGGTGATGAGTCCCGATTGCCCAAAAGAGTGGGGGCGGGCACGAGTACCACATCTGCTGCTGACGGGACTGGCAGTGGCCCACCCGGCTCCAGTTCCATCCGCGCAGTTCCAGCCTCGCCTTTGTGAGGAAAGACGCACCGGCCCCCGAAACCTCCGCCGTCATTGGTTTCGCCGCCAGAATTGACCATTTTTGCAACTTCATCATTAAACCTCACGAACCACGAACTACCAACCACAAACCATCGCGCACCACATCCGACTCCTCTCCTCTTCTAACGAAGCAGTCACCGCTAGGAGGACGCTCATTATATCTACGAGAAAAGTGCGGCGTTAGATCGTGGCATAGTCGTCTCTCAACGACTGCAACCACACACCACCTTCAGAGACCGACGATCTCGCACGCGCGGCAACTCGCCATAAGCCTCAGCGGCGAGGAACGACACCCAGAAAACAACCCGCACTACTCGGGTGCTGGGATTTACTTTGCCACCGCCGGTTCTCATCAAGTCTCATCGAAGAACTTTCGTACCCCTATTCCCTAGAGGAAAAGAACAAGAAAACTCTGCCAAAATGTCAGAAGCCTACGAGCGCGAACGCCAAAACAACGCCCGTCTCGATGAGCTCTCAGCAAAGGTCTCCGCCCTCAGAGGCGTGACCGTCGACATCTACGACAATGCGCGCGCCCACGAGGTCATTGACAGCACGGTATGTTCCCTCGTCGCCTTCTGTTTTCGCTCCGCTTTCCTTTCCTGGACCCCCTTTTTCAACATTTCGTTGGCAAGAAACCCCTGGTATTACATGATGAGGAACATTGGTCCGTGTTTCGGAGGCAGCCTCAAGACCTGCTGTTTGACGACAGAACCAGCACTTTGTGCAACTCTGACCCCTACCATCCTGCCCATATTCTGTCCATCAAGTCATCAGTCTTTTCTTGAGATAGGTCACTGACATATGGCTCTATTAGTCCGAGACGTTCTCATCCATGTCGACCCAGCTCAAGGGCTCCGCCGGCCGGTTAACCCGCATGGCCGCCTCTGGAAACAAGGTCGCCATCCTGAAGCTGTCAGGCATCATCATTGGCATCTTTATCGTCCTTTACTACATCGCCAAGCTGTTCTTCTAAGGAGGAACACGAAACAGATTACATTTTACGACAAGCAGGCAGAGAACTGCATAGTATGGGGGAAATCAACGACAAGGAGAGCAGAGCACATCGGCCGCCAAGGGAGAACTGAGTTTTTCTCGTATTTAAACAACGGAGTAAAGGGGGAGGTCCAATCCGACATCGGGGCCTCGGCATCAAACATGAAGGGAAACAAACATAACGGGAGTATTCAGATATATGACGGGCGTGGATGTTCAAATACCCTGCGCATGGAATCGGAGTTTGGGGGGTAGCACGGCGGCGACTGATTGTATCATCACCAGCAGCAAACTGACTGAGCAAGGCGTGCACTTTGTTTTTACGTTTTGAGGATTGGAGGTTTCCATCTTTTGCTTCAAGGTTTCTGGTAAATTCTTCATCTATGACGCTTTTGCAATTGAATTACAGATGCCATGAGACCCTCTCGTTCTCTCTCTCCTGCCCTGCCTCCAAACATGTCGTCACGTTTTTCATCGAGTGTCTATGTGCCAAAACGCAAATGATGTGCCCTGCGATAGGTTGCAAAAACGCTCGTCCTATCTACCCCAGAGGCACATGCCGCCCAAGATGTTCTCGCAATTTACTGCATTTACTGCCAAACATTGGAGAAGAGGTCCTCGCTGCCGCCTCCGATAGGCTTTGATGAACCAGAGCCGGCGGCGGGCTCGGTGCTGCTCGTCCATCCACCAAACTCCTCGTCCGCCGCAACCTTGGGTGCGGCGCTGAAGCCGCCAGACGCTCCGGGAACGATTGGTGTGTTGGCGAATGAGTTGGAGGAGAGGCCTCCAGAGGAGCCCCATCCGCCAAAGTCGCCTCCGAGGGAGGGCTTGGGCGCTTCCGCGGCCTTGGGGGCCGCGGGTGCAGCGGCAGCCGTGGTCGCGTCGGGCGTGCTCCAGGCGTTGGAACCCCAGACGTCGGATCCAGACCAGTTTCCTGAGCTGATTGTGCTGGTGGCAGCAGGTGTGGGAGCGGGGGAAGGTGCCTTGGGTTGAGAGAGGTTGAACACGGAGCTGGATGCGGGAGCGGGAGAGGGTTTGCTCGGGGCGGCGGCGGGTTGGGAGGGAGCGGAGAGGTCGAACAGGTCTCCCATGGAAGACGTCGGCTGAGCGGGCTTGGGCTGGGCCGCAGCCGGGGCAGGGGAGCTGGACCAGCCAAATCCGCCGAAGCCGCTGTTGGACGGCTGCTTCTGGTGCGCAGCGGGCGCGGGTGCCGCTGCGGGCTTGGAGTCGAAGAAGCTTCCGCCGCTGAGACCTCCGAAGGCGCTTGATGACGATGCAGGCGGTGGTGATCTCGTGCTGCTCACCGGGCTGGACAGGCTCGCGAACGGGTCTGCCGCGGCAGGCTTGGGGCTGGTGGTGTTGTTGGAGAAGCTGAGGCTGCTGAAAGCGTCGTTCATGCCTCCAAAGGACTGCTGCTGCTGGTGACCAAAGGTGGGCGAGGGCATGCCGCCGAATGCGCCGCCTTGAGCCTGGGGCGCTTGTTGCTGCTGCTGGGGTTGCGGTCGCGGGGCAGAGGCGTACAGGGACAGAATGGACTGCTTGAGGTCTGGCCTGGAGGGTCCTCCCATTCCACCGGTGTTGCTGGTGCTGGCTGGTCGAGGGGGGGCGGCGGGCTCGCCAAAGAAATCCAAGCCCAGGAGAGAATCCTTGGTGCTCGTGGCCTTGGGAGGAGCGGGATCGGATTTCGGGGGTACCTTGCCGGGCTGGGGGCCGGCGGTGCTCGCTCTGGGGATGGGATCATCGCCGCCGATAAGATCGATTTGCGGCTGCGGGGCAGCGACGTTTCTGGGGGGCGCGGCGGACTTGCCGACCGAACTCTTGCGAACCGATTCTCTGCGCTCGACATTCTGCTTCTCCTTGACCAGGCTCAAGGGTACATCGTCGTCACCGTCTACGTCGAGGCTGGCGGGGTCGGGAATGGGGCCGTCCATTGTCCATCTCTTGAGCTCGTACTTGGTGCGGATAAAGTTCTCAATCTTGGATTCCGAGGGAACGTGGCCGGGCGCCAGCTTGGCCTCCCAATATTTGTTCGCGCGCGCATTGCCCCAGCTGAGGATGCTCCGGAGCTGCTCGTCGGTCCAGGAGTCGAGATCGACAGACTTGACTCTGCTAATGTGCGTACCCATGCCACGGTGAATGCCTGAACACCGGATGCAGATAAAGACACCGAGGTTCCAGCTGGCCCATCGCGGGTCTGCAATCATGACACAGTCAGCGGGAATCCCAGATTGAATCAAGGTCGAATTGCCTGAGACTTACGCTTGTTCTTTTTGCAATCGGAGCATACTTTGTTGCACTCCAGTTTCAAGAGGCTCTTGATGGTCTGCTGGTTTTGGGCCGCTCTCTCGGCGGCGGGATTGGGCGGTCTTCTAGACATGGTGGCCTTTGATCGTTTTGTGGGAGGTGGACGGCGGAAGGTGATGGAGGGAGATTGAAGCAACGATTCGACGGATGGCTCTTATTTCGTCGCGGCGGCAGGTGTAGTCGGAGAAAAGGGGACGCAGCGCAGGATCGCAAAGTTGACAACCTGGACCTTGAATGCCGTGGGCCTGGGATTGATATTATGAATTGCCTACAGACTCCACGCGGCGCTGATACCGGCCAGGTAAGGGGCAACTGGGGTCGAGACCGTAGAATTCGTCCCTGCCTAAGGCAGTGATGACGGCAGTGGAGGTGGGGTCCTCAGACTGTGGTGACATGCTTTGGCAGGTGCCTGCGGTTCAGTGGCAGGTGCCCATACATTGCAAGTCGGTTGCCTCTAAGTCATGTATTCTTGGGCCTTCGTAGCTAAGTCTTCATTCAATGCATCCTCCACGGCCGAAGCCCGGTCATTGTATCTCTCGTGAGATTGTTCATTTTCTCTCAGATATGGAGAATCTCACTGGTGCAAATCATCACCGTAGTACAAGATCTAATTACCTGGGTACGTCGCGAAGACTTGGCCTAGAGCATTCTTGCACTAGGTCTTGTGAAGAGAGTTTAGAAAAAAGGTGATGCGTGGAAGAAGTAAAAGATAAGATAAGAGATCTGACGTTCGACTCGTTTCTATCGTCTAGAACTGGCAAGTTCTTGATGCCACTCTGTTGCAATTCAATGGGCTATTACCTCGATCACCTCCAATATGTCGGAATCATGTAGGTTTTAGGGTAGGCAGCCGAGGACTTGCTGCTTCCGCCGTCGAGCTTTAGTAGCTGCCTAAATGCAGGATGACGGAAAGTGTAATTGAAATGGTTGTTGAAGCCATCTGGCCATTGCTGGCTTACATGCAAACTACTATATGGACACATACTCCTCTACTCAAATGGTGTGGTCAATGGGAAGACGAGCACTTGGGACTTGAGCGTGGTAGAGCCGACTGAAGACCGCTTCAACTAGCAGAAGCCTTGCCCATACACACACACACACACACACACACACACACACACACATATTCTCTCTCCCACATACATGAATGCTGGCGTGCGGAGTAGCATGCAAGTTTCTAGTCAGTCTTCCGTCAACAATAGCAGTTTGACCTGTAGTGAATGTCTGTAGGGTCAGAGGCCGCCCTTAAGACCGACATCAGGATTAGCAGAATAAGTATATCTTCCGGAATGAACAGGTTCTTTCCAGACCATCCAGGTTTCCCTGGTTCCCTCGCGAGAATATGATGGCTTCACCACTACCTTGATGGACCATCCAACGGCAAGGGCGCCAGCAGATCTCATCTCGGACCTGCAACAGCACCCAAGATCACCGCCTTGTGCCACGTCGTGTGGGTTGCAGTTCGCCTGGAAGCTCAGCGCTCCTCCAATCAAGGATACGTCGGCAGCGCTTGCTCCAAGCAGCATGGATGGCTGCAAACATGTCGCAGAGCGAAAAAGGCCGGAGCATGTAAACCGCCCAGTAAAGTTGCGGGGGCGGGACGCTGGTGCATTAGCTGAACGTGGGGGAAGTGAGGGGTCGCTCGTCCGCGACTTGGACTCGCACCTTAATCCGTCGCATCTTGAGGCCTCTCGAACAAATCCTCTCTTTGCCATAGGCAGGATGTCTCTCGCGTCCGCGTATGTTTGACCTGCGGCGTCACATCCCGCATCGGACATCCAGCTTAGCACATGCCATTAGCTGAGCCAATTTGTCCTGAGGGTGGAGGGGCGCGATATCGCTTTCCGTCTATCTCGGAGTGTCGTTCCTGGAGAGCCGGCCCAAACGTGCAACCTTCCACCCGTCGTGGCAACTTCGACATCGGACGTAGCTAACAACGCAATGCGGGGGATACTTGGTTGGTATATAACCTTTGTCGGCCGTCGCGTTTGTGTCCTTGTTTGTTGTGTTCAAAATCTCCCGCTCCGACCTTAGGCTTTCTGAAATAGTCGGCTGCTTCTCATCCTTTTCCTAAACGTTCGCGCCCACTTGAACCATCCTTTGCTCAATATTGTCCCTCCGTCATGGCTCCTTCTGCAATCGAGAAGATCACGTCGACGGTGTCCTCCTTCGCGTCTGATAGACTCCGCATCCTTGTTCCTGAGAAGGTTTCCTCAGATGGTCTTGCACTCCTGAAAGACAAATACGATGTTGACAACCGCGCGGGGTTGTCTCCCGAAGAGCTCATCGAAGCGATCCCCAACTACCACGCACTGATTGTACGGTCCGAAACGAAGGTGAATGCGGATGTACTGGCTGCTGGCAGAAAGCTCCGCGTCGTTGCACGAGCCGGCGTGGGCGTGGACAACATTGACGTCGACGCAGCAACAAATCAGGGTATCATTGTCGTCAACTCGCCTTCTGGCAACATCGTTGCCGCTGCTGAGCACACGATTGCCCTCCTCCTCGCCACGGCTCGCAATGTCGGCCGCGCAGATACCACAATGAAGGATGGAAAGTGGGAGAGAGGCAAGCTTGTTGGTGTCGAAGTTGGCAACAAGACCCTCGGTATTATCGGCCTCGGCAAGGTGGGAATGAAGGTTGCCCGAATGGCCATAGGCCTCGGCATGAAAGTGAAGGCGGTTGATCCGTATGCCAGTGCAGAGATTGCCGGCCAGGCCAACGTCGAGCTGGTAGCTGATCTCAAGAGTCTATTGCCGATTGTAGACTTCTTGACCATTCACACTCCGCTGATGGCGAGTACACTCGACTTGCTGAAAGAGGAGGAGTTCCAGCAAATGAAGAAGACTGCTAGAGTCCTCAATGTTGCGAGAGGCGGCGTGTACAACGAGGCAGCGCTTCTTCGTGCGTTGGATGAGGGATGGATCGCCGGAGCTGGTCTCGATGTCTTCACGGCAGAGCCACCAGTCGCCGAGTCGACAGCGTCTCAGCTGACCCGGCACCCCAAGGTGGTCGCCACCCCTCACCTGGGAGCCTCTACTGTAGAGGCTCAAGAGAACGTTTCGATGGACGTCTGTACGCAGGTGGCCGAGATCCTCCGCGGTGGATTGCCAACAGCAGCCGTCAATGCACCGTTGATCATGCCGGAGGAGTATCGCAAGTTGCAACCGTTTGTGCGTCTTATCGAAAAGATGGGCGGGCTATATACGCAACACTTTGTCGGTAGCCGAGGTGGTATGATTGGTGGCCGGAAATTCGAGCTCATCTATCAGGGCGACCTGGCGGGCATCTCCAACACACGACCGTTGTACGCCGCGCTGGTAAAGGGGCTCGTTTCATCCATCAGCGACTCAGGCGGCCGAGATGTCAACATCGTGAACGCCAGCCTGACGGCTAAGGAGAAAGGCATCATCATCAGCGAGACGCACAGTGGGGAAGCGAAGAACGCAGTGTATGCCAGCTTGGTGACGCTCCGATCACACGGCGCAGGTGGCGAGCAGGTCATCGAGGGATACGTGTCGGGGCAGAGCATCTACATCTCGAAGCTAGACCGATTCAGCGCAACTTTCCAGCCGCACGGAACGATGTTGGTGCTGCACAACTATGACGAGCCGGGCAAGATTGGCGGTGTCGGTATGGTACTGGGCCAGCATGGGATCAATATCACCTTCATGCAGGTGGCCAGCTTGGACGGCGAGGAGAGGAAGGCAGAAGGAGGCAATGAGGCATTGATGATACTGGGCGTAAGAGGAGAGATAAGCGGTAAAGTGGTGGATGACTTGCAGCGAGAAGAGGGTATCTTGAACGTGAGCTTGGTAAGGTTGTGAGGATAAGATATCCCAATAGGCTTCCCTGGGGATTCGCAAGGTAGATGATGAATTCAAGCCGAGTGGAATCCACTCCACGTGCTTCATAGTCGTTTCTCTGCGAGACGTGGGCAAGAGACATCAGAAGCAACCGGAAGACATCCCAGAGACCCCATCCGCGCCACAGAAGCCAGGCCCACATCCTCCATCCAACTCCACTTTGAGAGAGGTGACAGAGGGGCTCGACAGTCTACATCTTACACCTATCCCTGCTACCACGAGATCACCCCGGCACCGAAGGGCGATCAGTGAGACGATCGTTACATCGCCGTTGTTCTCACTCACGCCGGAGGACGACACATCCGTCCAACCAGAAATATCGCGTAGCGGACTATCACTCAGATCCCACATCGACATGGCGGGAAACGGAGCTGACGACGAGGCCTGCCCACAGGTACTCACACTGGAGGCGGCCATAGCAATGATGGTGGCAGCAATGAACAGTCAAAGAGAACAGATAAACAATGACATGTCTTAACTGCTGTCAGCAGTATTCGCGGAACAGAACCGGACCAGGGATGACGATGCCGATACTAGTCCCGGCCACAAAAGCTACTTCCGAGCCACGGATGTGGGCATCTTCAACCCAGAGACCAAAGATGTAAGCAATCTGGGCATGGTCAGTGATGGTAAATTGACCATCTACACAGACATCTACGCCTTCACCGATCGACTCATCGATCTGGCCGCTACCCGAGGCGAGGATGCTGTCAAAGAAGTTTGGACGCAATGTCTGCAGGGACCTGCATTGGTATGGTATTCACAGATTCTGACCACTACCGATCGCAACTTGCTCCGCACCGCACCGGTGGGCGCCATCACTGATAAATTACTTGAGCGCTTTAAGCCGCATTATGGCGAGGCGATGCGTCGATGGAAGTATGCATCCTTCACTCTATAGGATGTACATCTGGGCAAGGATGTACTGACCTACGTCCAATCCATGATGCGAGATGCCAAGGCCTGTGGTATGTAAGACCTCTAAGCTTAACTTCGTGCAGCCTACGAATCATTCGACGGCACTATCCGAAGTCTTATTCCACCTCCTAACGATTACACATCCTTGGAAGGCTTTCTCTAATCCATCAGGATGCAGGAGTCTACCATCAGAACACTTGCAGCAGAACGTGCACCGCGAAGAACTTTTCAGTTAGGCAAGACACCGGCGAGATTTTACGACTAATTTGGTCGCCAGAACTACACATCAGGGTATCCCATCGACTGCTGCAAGGCGACAGTACAATGGACTCCAGCTTTTCTCCAAATTCTCCGAGATATGAATTTTTTGATTTGCGGATATAGTGGGAATAAATCGGAATAACGCCTGATTAGTTCTTCCCCCGCACTCGGATGTACTGTCGCCTTGCAGCAGTCGATGGGATAGGACTAACTCGATATACCAGCGTGGCGGATGTTAGCGTCCCCAGACGGATGCGAACCCCACATCTAACCCACAGACTACCGCCGATGCATAACCCGCCACGGATGCCAGAGTTCCTTTTAAACCCAACTGGCCGCAGCCCAATCTCCAACCGACTCGATTTCCGACCAGCTACCGATTCAGGGGAAGAGGCGGCTACACTAATCCGTACCGCGGCGGATATCAGAGGACCATCCCGGAGAACAGGCGCCTCACGGCACCGGAAGACAAGGCGCCGGCCATCAGAGCGCATCTTGCCAATATCCAGGATGAAGCATACGGTGACAACGACGTCGACAACCCGGAGGAGACAGCCCAATTGGCACACTACCAGGCACCAACCGTGGCAGATGATGATGAGTACGGAACCTATGACAAAGATGTGTTCGAGGACTCACAGCCGGAATGGATCGAGCCAGGAGGAGAACTACCCTTCACATCTGACACATCCCACGCAGCCAACTTCATCGCGGTCAGCCGCCCTCAAGATCCTCACCGACTGACAGTCAAACGGTGCAGGATGTGCTCAGAGACATTCGACAGCAATAACCAGCTGCACAAGCACATCCGCAGACAGCACGGCAACGGACAAGCTGGCACGAGCATCACATCAACCGCATTTATGGCATTCACCGAAGCCTCGATGCAAGCACAGCCGACCACATCAGCGTCAGATGTCATGAAGGCAACCCCAACCATCGTCACTTCATCGGTGGACCCCGCGACGCAGATGGGCACAGGATTTGGCTTCAGATCTTGGTCGTACTTCAGATTCTGGATCACACCAGACCCTCAGCAATGCCATGTCCAGATGGACATCTGCGGTAATACCGGATGCTCCACCACGTTGATCGACAGGCAGTTCCTTCAAAAGCACTACCCACATCTAACACTCCGCACCAGAGCGTCCCCAATCACTATCAAAGGCCTTAATAATACACAGCACCGCACCGATTAGTATATTATCATAGACATGTACTTTAGAGGTACCGATATTACTACTTAGCGAGATAACCTCGCCGCACTCTAGCGTTCAGTATTAGTCGTTAATAATCTAACGGCGAATATATTACTTAGTATAGATTACATAAGACTAAAGAAATTCGATATCCTTAACAACAAGGGCTATATTATTATCCAAGCCTACTATATAAAGATTCCGATATTAGCTTAGTATAATAGTAGAAGGTATTATGCTAAAGTAACGGTAGCTAACAATACGACCATAGTACTAGGTACTACGATACGTATACTAGTATATTACGTAGTAATGGAGGAAAATCAGGGCCTTATCTTTAACCCCGTTGATAATCTACTAGTCGTAACGTACGTACTAATCGCAGATGCGTCGCTAGGCCACATCACGGTGCGCAACGATTCTAAGAAACCTAAACACATCGGCAAGAGACAAGCCCTTGGGCATCTCTCGTCCATAGATCCATCAGCACAAGCCTGGATAATAGACCCAGCGCAAGCCACCGAGGCAGCCGAAGCCGCATTGAAAGAACCAATCACAGTCACCAAACACATCATGCAACCGTCGTTGACCGAGAACAATTCAATAACCCATGCCACCGGTGTCAAGATCTACAACCGGCAACCCGACGCTGACCGCATCGGGGCAGTAATCTCCAGACATGCCAAAGTCTTTCAAGACTCAGGATACGCCGACGTACCCGAGGAGGACCGCCTCCGTGTTGTTTTCAAGCCAGACTGGCATCTGAGAGTGCCCAAACGATGCAAGGTGTATCCAGCAGGTCCAGCGGAGAAGGGCATCATACGGAAGACATTGGGCAAGCTCGTAGATGCAGACAAGGCTTTCCGCACACAGAACATGGTCCCGCTCGCATCTCCAGTTTTCGTGATCTGGAGGGAAAAAGCGCTCACCACTGCTCAGACAACAGCGACCACAGAATCCACATCGGCACATCCAATGCCAACAATAGCACATCCAACCCCACAGCCCAAGTCACCCCAGGCTGCGGACAAGGAGGAGAACAGGAAAGGACGAATGGTGGTGGATGTTCGTCCGTTGAACGACATGATCATGGCGGATGCATACCCGATGAAAACAATGGATTACATCATGTCTAAGGCAGCCAACGCGACACATATCACGACATTCGATGCCATGGCTTTTTATTACCAATGGCGCCTGCATCCCGACTCACAATGGGCATTCACGGTGGTGACAACTGATGGACAGTACACATTCAAGTGTCCGATAATGGGCTATAAAAACTGCAATGCATATGTGCAGCGCCAAATGGACAATCTGTTACGGGGGACAGCCGCCGACAGTTATTGCGATGACATTGTGGTGGCATCGATCGGCCTGGATCGGCATCTCGCAGATCTGGATGAGGTCTTGACCCGACTGCAAGACAAAAACATATCGCTGGGCCCCGACAAATCCTTTGCGGGATTCCCATCCGCCATCGTCCTCGGCAAAGTGGTGGATGCGTTTGGCATGACCACATCGGAGGATAAAGTCAGAGCAATCAGAGCGCTGGTATTTCCCAAAACACTGCAGGCATTGGAATCATTCATCGGCCTCGCGGGATCATTGCGACATCACGTCCCACGATATGCCGCTATCGCAGAGCCATTAGAACAACGGAAGACATTGCTACTCCGAGAACATCGGCGCCGCAACCCAGACGGCACACCCAAGACGGGGGCAATGGCAAAGCCCGCACGCAAGGCATGGTCGACCGCCATCAATGTCTTGTTGCCCACAGCCAAAGAAATCAATGCATTCGAGCAACTCAAAACCGCTCTGACAGACAAATCCACATTGGCATTCTTCGCACCCGGACGTCAGCTTTTCATCGACTTCGACGCATGCATCGAAGGCATCGGTGTGATGGTATACCACATCGCGCAGGACACATTGGACAAACTCCTTGCGACAACATCAGGCGACATCTCTAAGATACCATACCCCCCACGCACAGCGATCCAGCCCATCGCATTTCTCTCCAGGACATTGAACGACGCAGAGAAGAGATACTGGTCCACCGAACTTGAGATGTGCGGATGCGTGTGGACGATCTCTAAGACCGCACACTAGATCCGCCAGACAGAGAAGACACCAGTTCTAATGTACACAGACCACAAGGCCATAGTCGATATGACATCACGTCAGGTCCTGGACATTGCGAACTCAACCGCCAGGACCACCGCGAACAAGAAGCTAGTCCGCGCGCTAGAATACATGTCACAGTTCGACATCAAAATCGTGCACAAGCCGGGAAAGGATCATCTGGTACCGGATGCACTCAGCAGACTGGCATCCACGGACAACACCCCACCGCACCGGTCAGGCGGGCTGGACCAATTCCCGGATGACAGGGAGTGCAACGCATTTCTCGCGGACACGGGAGGACATCATGTCCACCTCCCACCAATGAGACTCACGCCACCGGCTGAACCACGTGAAATTGCCGGCATCCCGTTGGAGCAGACAGCACGACAGCCTACCGTCACTATGATCCACATGGATCCGGATTTCAAGCGACGCATCCAGCGCGGATATGATGAAGATCCAGTCTGGAGAAAGATCAAATCGACGCTGCAGACGAACATTGCCATTCAACAGGACGATCCGGACAACGCAGCAATTTTACCCTTCCACATCCAGGATGGACTCATCTGGAAGACCCCAGCGGATCGACAGGAAACCCGACTGTGCATCCCGAGAACCTGCATCCAAGACATCTTCGAGTCAATCCACAATGGCGGCCACCATGGATACGCCAGGATCTCGGAATTTCTTGCTGACTACTGCATCCACAATGGACTGAAGCAACTGCGAGCCTACCTCAGCCACTGTCCACAGTGCAAGATCTTTCAGATCCGCCGACACAGAGCATACGGCAACCTACAACCCATCCTCCTACCACCTTGCCCATACTACATGATCTCCATCGATTTCATGTTGGCGTTGCCGAAGTCCAGGGTCGGGCAGCTCGATGCCGCACTCGTAGCAGTGGACAAACTGTCAAAGGAAGTGCAGATCATGCTCGGCAAATCGACTGACAATGCCATCGCCTGGGCAAAAACACTACATCGTCGTCTACTCACAGCAAACTGGGGATACCCCAAGGTCATTCTCAGCGACCGTGATCCCAAATTCCTCGCACAGATGTAGAAGACGATGTGGAAAGCGGCAGGCACAGAACTCCTACATACAACGGCATATCACCCCCAAACAGACGGACAAACGGAGCGCACAATTCAGACCATCGGATCGGCCCTCAGGCACTACATCCACTCACTGGAATCTCCGGAGGATTGGCCGGAATCTATACCACATCTCCAGTTCCGACAGAACAACGCGAAGGCCAAATCGACTGGATTGGCACCCAACGAGACAGTACGAGGATTCACATCCAGCGATGTCATCGCCGGCATCTATCGCGACATCAAGACAGACATCACACCACCTAGAAGTCGAATCCAGATTCATGACGCCATCGCAGTGGCTTCCATGACAATGAAGTGGCATCACGATCGCAGACACACGACGAGATTCTTCAGTATCGGAGACAGGGTGTACCTACACCTACACCAAGGATATCAAATCCCCCAGGCAGCGATCGTCGGCCGCAAGTACGGCATGAGATACGCAGGACCATTCCGCATTGTCGAACGCATCGGAAGGGCGGCATACCGGCTTCAGCTGCCGGCGACATGGAGGATCCACGATGTCATCTCAGTGGACCATCTCGAACCAGCTGGGCGCATCGATCCATTCGGCAGGGCGCTGCCAGACATCCCGCCGGTCACGGATGCAGACAAAATTCAAGATCACATCAAAGCATCACGGGATACATCCAGAGGTAAACAATACCTGACAGCATACCGACATCTCGGATCCGAGTACGACACTTGGCTGAGCGGACCCAATGTCCAAGAGGAAGTTCTCAAGAAATGGCAAGAGGAAGGTAGGAGCTGACAATCACCTTCCCGCAACCAGGCGCGCTCCTTCCCCTTCAGAGCTTGCCCCTTCAATTCGGAAATAAATTTACGGCACTCCTCCCAAAACTTCTTCCAACAACACAACCTCAACATATTTTCTACACACAGCACCAGCAGCCCCTCTGCCCAGGGAAAAAAGCTTCAAACTGCTTATTTGCAAACAAGAATATTTCACAGAACGTTGCAACAGAATTTTTTCACAATCCCATATTATTTCAACCTGATTCAATATCACAGCCCGAGCTGGTACCCGACGCGCCTTCCACAGAGCATGGGAGAGAGCTACCCGGGATATCAATTCTTACGACAACAACAAGAGGACATTCGCCTGATACACGACCTTCAGCTTGTCGCGTCAATCACAAGATCCACATCCACATCCAAACACACACCTGAATCGACATCCACAAACACATCCAATATGAGCAAGAACAGCACCACCGAGAAGAACATCAACAGATGGGAGGCAGCTTTCCGGAGGAAGGGCACCTCGGGCCGCCCGGAGAAGCAGGAAGCCTGGATTGCTGAGGCAGAGAGTTTTATCCGACGCGACACCAGACACGAGCTCGGTCTACTCAACAGCACTACTCGCAGCCTCATCGAGACCGAGATGAAGGCGCCTGTCACCGTACACAACATCAACCCGACCAACTGCACATCGTACAGATCTATCCAAACCGCTCTCGGGGGCAACAATAAAATCAAGATGGGATCAGTGTGGGCCCTGATTATCAAGAGAGATGGAGATGTCGACAAGTTCATGACGAAGTTCCCCGATAGGGAGATCTTCGAGACCATGGCAGGAATCTACTGCTCGGTCATCACGGGCAAATACAACGACATCGACGAACACGATGTGAACCGCATCCAGGCTGCTACCTGCTGGACCGACGACTCCACGAATCGAGATGACCCTGGTAAGCGGAAGAATGCGGGATCTGACGAAAATGCCGATGACGGAAAGCCTGTGAGCAAGAAGGTCAAGATCGAGAAGCCTGAGCTCGATTCGGACGTCACATCCGATGAGGAAAAGCCCGCCAAAAAGCCCACTACATCCAAGGAGAAGCCCCTCAAGAAAAACGGCAAGAAAACCACCGCATCCGATGAGATCATCGAGAACAAGCCCGCTGAGAAGCCCATCAAGACATCCGATGTCACCACATCCAACAAGCCGAAGACCACCAAACAACGCAACATCACCGCATCCGACACGGAGTCGGAGGCAGACAAGCCCAAGGGCAAGAAGGTCAAGATCGAGAAGCCTGAGCTCGATTCGGACGTCACATCCGATAAGGAAAAGCCCGCCAAAAAGCCCACTACATCCAAGGAGAAGCCCCTCAAGAAAAACGGCAAGAAAACCACCGCATCCGATGAGATCATCGAGAACAAGCCCGCTGAGAAGCCCATCAAGACATCCGATGTCACTACATCCAAGAAGCCCACCAAGACATCCGATGTCACCATTTCCAACAAGCCGAAGACCACTAAACAACGCAACATCACCGCATCCGACACGGAGTCGGAGGCAGACAAGCCCAAGGGCAAGAAGGACAACAAAGGCAAAGCCAAAACCGTTGAGAGGAAGACGGAGGAATCTGACGTGGACATCAGCTTGGGAGGAATGGTATCTGACGATGACGAAAAATCCCAGGCACGCATCTACCGCGACAAAGTCATGAAGATGCAGCGCGTCAAGAAACTGTTTCAGAAAGTCGACAAGGCCGACAGACCGAATGCGCTCAGCCGGTTCCTCATCATGGAGGTAGCCGGAGGATGCAAGGGCGATGTGGTCGACAACGCGAAGTACTTCATCGAGCACCACAACGAGTAGACGAGGCACATCACAGGCAGTTGGGCACACATCAGGAAGGGTATCAAGGCGGCATCATTATGATTACGGAGTTCAAAAGTTTATGATTTCTGCTTTCTGCTTTACTTGCTACTTTCGGTTTATGGCTTATGGAAAAGATGCGCGAGGACGCGCGATGCAAAGGGGGGCGGCAACTGTGAGCCGCGGCTAACCGCAGCCACAGGCTGGGCACAGCCACATCCACATCCGGGATGTGGCTGTGCCACACATCCCCTGCAGTCAGATAGATGAACAATACAAGCTAGTTCACATCATACATTCAGCCCCCTACGTGGCCTGAATCGTGAGCTACGCTCACACCACGAGTTCGTGGAGCTTGGCAACATTTGTGATCTTATTGGCGAGTGGCAGAGCTCAAGGGGAAGGTGGCATGAGGTAAATAACTGGGTACTCATCATTGTTATCGCAACACTAGTGGGCGGACATTTAGTGCCTAACGAGATCATTGACAATCTGGAATATTTAAGGTTTGGCAATTCTATCACCGGATGCATGAGAGGCACGAGATCTCTTACCATATTTTGATACTGGCAGCTGAATAAACATCTTTACGTTTGGCTGTAAGAGTTCGGGTATCGGCAGAGAAGAAGGACCGTTCACTCGTGCTGTTGCAGCTCCTGCGACAAGTTACCTGCACATCTGAAGTTTTATGCAAGCCTTCCCAGTAAATACACAAAACAACCCAAATGGCGTGGGGATTTTCTTGAAAGCGGGTCAATGTCACGTCAAGGTCTGTGAGCACTGAGAGCGAAGGCACAGCCTTGCAAACTTGAACTGACCAACCTTGAGGTCATGATCTCGGCACTAGCAATCCTGAGCGTACAGCTGCGCGTGAGCTGGTCGAGCAGAAGGATTGACTGACGTGTTTCGAGGTTGAGCTCTGCTAGGCCCTGACACGATACTATTCATGGTGTTTCTCGAGCTCTGGCTGGTATTATGTGTATGGTAAGACTCCACCCCACACGACGGATCACCCCCTACGACAGATCACCCAATTCGGCCAGATTCAGCCAAAACCGCTATTCCATATATATATAAATAATTAAAAAATAAATATTTTAAAAAATACATAAGCTATTAAAAATATAATTAGTATAGAAAAATATTTGAAAAAAATTATTTTTCATTATATTATATAATAATATTAGATTTAAAATATACTTTTAAATGTTAGTGTTTATTAGTAATTTCTATATAAACACTAACATTATACTATATTATATAACTCTTTTATTTATTAAAAAGAATAAAATTTTAAAGTTGATTATTTTTAATAGATTTAAATTAAACTTATATAAATAGTTTTTATTAATAATATAAGTATTATTATATAGAAATATTAAGTTATATTATAATAAGTAGTATTTATATAAACTTGAATTTCCTAAGCTTATATAATTAGTACAATGCTAAAAATAGTATATTTAAGCTTAGAACAATATTTAAAAAATTATAGTATTTTAAAATACTTAGGTTTATTTATTTTTCATAAAGTTAGAAATCGTATTTTTATATAGTAAAAAACGTTATATTTAATTTAATAATATCTTGATTATTATAATAGATTATAACTTATAAAAAATTTTTTAGTAAGAGAACTATATATTCTATATTTAAAAGTATTTTTTATATATTTTTTATATTATAAAACGAAGTAGGTAGAATTAGTGGTTTTTGACTGAATTGTACCGAATTGGGTGATCTGTCGTAGGGGGTGATCCGTCGTGTGGGGTGGAGTCTTACCTTGAGACAGCATGTAGCAGCTTGCTTGTATTGCTAGACCGAAAAACTGAGGCGAGATACATGGCTCTGTGCTCTTAGTGGTTGGTGCCCAGACGCGAGGTAACGTCGACAGGAGGCAAGGAACAGGCTAGCAAAATAGTTCAATTGCACCGATCAGAGTTTTTGAACATGTGCATACACTAGGTACGGATAAGGATAGGCCTGGATATGTGGTCGACCCTGACTTTGAGCTTCAACCGGAAGAAGCTTCGAGATGTTGACTTGCGCTTCACTCAGGAGCATCAGCGAACAGGCAGAGCATCAATTGCTCAGGAGACCTGCTTACAAATATGCTGCTTCATCAAGTCTTACATAATTTACCCCAGATTTTGCACAATCCCTGGCGTCACTTATGGAATGACGAGACAAAAGTATCGCGGCAAGAAAGGCAAAAGGCGGGGCGAGTGAGACGAGGTAGGGAAAATGCGCAACACAGACTTTTGCCCATTCCGAATAGCCGAATTAAAGACCTCGAGAGAGAGGTACGTGCCAATGACAGCGCTGTCTCCCATGTACTACCCAGAGTCTACTTGAACAATTTGCGTGCCAGTGCGGAGGTTCTTGAGGTCTCTGCGGCAATGATGCATCATTCTCTCAGGCTTCGCATTGTAGACGACCCGCCCCCCGACCGTTGATGACGCCAAGCTTGTGCGCCACGAGAGCAAATGATTGGCTGGTCTCGCTAGCACACCAACGAGAAAGAAGCAAAGCTTCCGGCGACAGGTGCCCCTCGGCCCCCCAAAGCTAGGAACTCTGGGTACCTCTCACCTCTCTCGGCGCCCTTGTGCTTTCTCCGTCTCCATGAGCTATTGATCACCATCTGTGTGTTTTTCTCATTCATTTTATTTTTTGGCTTTCTCAACTCTCGTCCCTAAAAATTCCTACCTTCGACATAGCTCTATCGCAGCTCTCCTCACATCATCAACAAAGTGCCATTGCAAGACCCATCTGCAAGGCACCGTCACTCGAACCATCGCTATCCACAGCAGAATCCACTCGTCTTCCGACCTTGGCTCGTTTGGTGGAGCTTGCCCGCTCGCCTTGTGCACTTGCGTACGCACAGCAGCTGCAGGTAAACAGAGGTGGAGTGCAGCACCTTTACCACCCTGACTCTGCCCCGTTTCTCGCCCGTCTCCCGCGTCCGCCGCATAAAATGTGCGCTTGACCTCGCTGCTTTCCCACCTACTACTCCACGACACTCTCACGACATCCGATTCCTCCATTGACGAGCCGAGTATTATGGCCACAAGGGGAGTCGTCCCGACACGACGGGGCAATAATGCCGGCGGCTTCGGCGTCTTCCGTACTGCCGTTCTCGGCCTTACCAAAGCCTTGACGCTGGGCGTTTCCTCCGTCGCCGCCGCGCCCATTCACGCGCGAGGCCATCACGATGAAGAGCCAGAGGCTGGTGATGCTTTCTGGCCCCTCATGGGTGCCTCCATTGCCCTGGTTTTGCTGGGAGGTGCCTTTGCAGGTCTGACCATTGCGTAAGTTCTTGTCTTGTTCGCATTTCCTACCAACTCCTATACCTGTTTGCTGACCTTGGCACTTAGCCTGATGGGACAGGACAGCATCTACCTCCAGGTTGTCGCCGGCGACCCCGACGAATCGCAATCCAAGAACGCCAAGCGTGTCTACGACCTTTTGAAGAAGGGCAAGCATTGGGTTCTGGTTACTTTGCTTCTCTCCAACGTCATCGTCAACGAATCGCTACCCGTTGTTTTGGACCGCTGTCTTGGCGGCGGCGTTGAGGCCGTCGTTGGCAGTACTGTTCTCATTGGTACGTTGGAGTATATCCACCAGCGATAAACGACCTTTACTAACATATTGGCAGTCATCTTTGGCGAAGTCGTACCTCAATCCATCTGCGTTCGATACGGTCTCCAAATCGGTGGCTACATGTCCAAGCCTGTTCTTTTGCTCATGTGGCTTATGGCGCCTGTGGCTTGGCCTACTGCGAAGCTCCTCGACTGGGCGTTGGGCGAGGACCACGGCACCGTTTACAAGAAGAGTGGCCTCAAGACTTTGGTCACCCTGCACAAGTCCCTTGGCGAGGTTGGCGAACGCTTGAACCAGGACGAGGTCACCATCATCAGTGCTGTCTTGGACCTGAAGGACAAGCCCGTCGAGAACGTCATGACCCCAATGGACGATGTCTTTGTCATGGCCGAGGATACCGTATTGGACGAGAAGACCATGGACCAGATTCTTTCGGAGGGGTACTCCCGTATTCCCATCCACGCCACCGGAAAGCCGACCGATTTCGTTGGAATGCTTCTTGTCAAGATTCTCATCACATACGACCCTGAAGATTGTCTGCAGGTCAAGGATTTCCCACTGGCGACGCTTCCCGAGACCCGCCCTGAGACGAGCTGCTTGGACATTGTCAACTTCTTCCAGGAGGGCAAGTCGCATATGGTCCTGGTGTCCGAGTACCCCGGTGCCGACTACGGCGCTATTGGTGTCGTCACCCTTGAAGATGTCATTGAGGAACTTATTGGAGAGTAAGTTTACCACGACTGTACTGCAGAATGATTACTGACTCGTAGCAGAGAAATCATTGACGAATCCGACGTCTACATTGACGTTCACAAGGCCATCCGCCGCATGACCCCCGCCCCGAAGGCCCGAATCACCAAGAGGACAGGCCAGCCGTCCCCTCGACCGATCCCTGAGAACGGTGATCTCATCGAATTCGGAGACGAGCCGCAACCTCCCCATGAACGAAATGGTTCCATCAGTGCGCTCAGCGATGCCCCGGAGAACCTCTCCAGCAGCGCGCCTAGAACCACATTCCTTATGAGAAGAAGCTCGGCCGGTCCTGACGGGCGCATGACTTCGTCTGCTGTTCCCGTGAAGGCCACCTTTGACGAGGCTAAGCAACACCTCAAGCATCTCGGTCCATCCAACCGCGCGTCGAACCCGAAGAACACCAAGTCTACAACCGTCAAAATCAAGCCCGTCCAGACCGGAGCGCCCTTGTCGCAGATCCACAGCCCGTCCCCCAATCTTCGCCCCGCCTCTATAGCTGGAGAAGTCAGCGAGGAGAGACTGGAGCATGACACGGACGAACATACCCCCCTTATGCGCCCTAAGCTGACCGGAAAGGGTGGCGTCCATGCTATTCGCAAGAGCTATGGTGGGGCCGGCATGAGTGAGACTCAGGTTAGGCTCTCGAGTGCCGCTCACGACCACGACGCCGAGGGCGCCAAGGCCCCTGAAGGAGTCGACTTGCCCCCAACTGTCCCTGAACATGGCAGCCCAAAGGCCACACGGAGCACAAGCCCCGAAGCAGCCCGGACGGACCTGACCATCATCGTCTCGCCTGGTCGGGCAAGCAGCGCGACGAGCGTCACTGATGTTATCGATGAAGGATCTGCCACCCCCAAGCGCCGACCCCTTGTTCGAAGTGGTAGCATCAGTGAGAACGTGGTCGAGACTAGCAGTGGAGTGCGGAAAATCATCATCCAGGCCGCCAGCTCCGATTCCGATGAAGCCGGGTCTAGAGGTTCCAAGGGCTCTTCCGGACACCGCTCGCGGGCTACCAGCCAGAGTAACAAGCAGTCTTCTAGCCACGATTCAGAAGGCGAGGAGCAGGAGAATGGGGACGGTGCGTCGAGCACGGCGCAGAGCACCAGCAACAATAGCCAGGCAGCAAGTAAGAAGAAGAACAGGAGGAAGAAGAGGAAAAACAAGTCGTAGATTGGGCGTAGTAAGATTGTGTAGGTGTTGGTGCTGTCCCCTGTATGATATCGCATAGTAATCTGAGCGGTTGCGGCGCTCATTCACCGTTGTTGCTCTTCAAGTCAAATTTTTGGAATACTAATTTCCTGGTAACATGCTGAAGTTGATGTGATTGTTTGATTGTATGTTTCTTTATTTTTAGTTTTATTTGTTTCTCCTATTATCCCCGCTACCTTGACTCCTCCGACCTAAACTCAATCGTACCAAATAGCATTCATTCCGAACCCGGGCTCGGGGATACGCAACCGCGCAACACGGCCCAGGAACTCGTCCTGCCAACGGTAGATCTCGATCCAGCCCTCCTGGTCGTCCGTGATGGCGATCCACTCGTCGCTCCAGTCGCAGGGGCTGACGGCGTTGCTGTGCCCGCCGCTCGTGGGCGTGGGGTTCAGGCAGATCTGCCTCTCGATGTGGCCGCTGTCGTCGAGCTTGAAGGCGGCGATGTAGCCCGTCACGTCGAAGCTGTTTGAGCGGGCCGTGGCGAAGAGGTACTTCCCGCTGTGGGAGAGGGTGCAGACGTCGGAGCGGTACATTTTCGTGGTCGAACCTGGGATACCCGGGGGGATGAGGGGGAAGGAGCGGTGGGTGTAGACGGGGAGGCGGGTGGCCGGGTCGACGACGTACTCGCAGAGGCGGTTGCCTGCCTCCATGAGGGCGTAGAGGTAGCGGCCCGTCGGGTGGATGGCGACCCAGCGGGGGTGGTCGCCCGGGTCCGGGGCGTCGACGGAGCCGACGAGCTCGAGTTCGGGGGCGTCGGGGGAGGTCTTCTTGTGGACCCAGAGCTTGTTGGCGGTGAGGTCGGCGGAGTAGAGGTAGGTTTCTGTGGGGTCGAAGACCATGCCGTGGATGCCCGTGTTGGGGTCGTAGGGGTAGTTTTGGACGTTTGTCTCGAGGGCGCCCGAGGAGGAGACGGAGAAGATGTTGCCGTGGGAGGCGTGCTTGTAGAAGGGGTTGCAGTAGACTGCGTAGGGGGGTTTTTGGGCCGCGAGGAGGAAGATTGCGCGGGTGTTTGTTGTTGAGAGGGCGGCGTTGGCTGGGAGGGATGGTGTTAGTTGAGAATGAGGTTCACGAGAGTGACGAGGTAGTCGTGATGTGACACGATAAGGTGACATTGGCCCGCTTGCTATGAGAATGAACTTACGGTCGTGGGTCATGTCGTGAGAGGCCTCGTGGACGATTTCTGAGGGGCTCTTGACTGCGAAGCTTGCCCACTTCTTCATGGCGGCGCCGTAGAGGTTCTTCTTGTCATGCTGTGAAGTACATATGTGTGTAAGCCAGGTTTCTTGGTCACAACGGAATAGAATCTACTAAGCTCATCCGAACTCAAGCTGATCCGCGGGTAGACTGATCTGAACTTACACTGAAGGTCATCCATGATATCGGCTGGTCCTCAGGGATCTCGGTGCGCTTTACGAGCTCGAGGTTGAGCTTCTCGTCGTCAAAAGCGACGGTGAAGATGGCGCCTGGCGGGGTCCAGGTCCCGATCATGAGGTGGTGGACGGGCATCTTTGCGGTTGTTGAGAAGAGCCTAGCGGGGAAGCGTTTGGTTTGGAAGGCCGAGAGAAGACGGAAGGATCGCGAGAGCATGAGCTAGAGGGGAGGCCGTCACGAGGAGAGGAAGAGAAATTGTAGTTTCAAAACGTCTCGGAGAATGTAGGAGCGAGGAAACTATGGCAAGTCGGGTGAGTTTCGCCGAGGTAATGAGGAAGCTCCAGGGAGGTCGAGCTCCGATTGGCAAAAACGTCACGATGACTGGGTCAGGGGAATACTCTTTACGAGAAACGTCAAGACAGAATCATGTGAAAGGGGAAGGGGGAGGTGTGGGAAAGATGGGAAGAAAACGAGGTGACGAAAGATTTGAGAAAAAGAGTAGGCAAGTTTGGTGTACCTTACAGCTCCTGCCCCTCGTCTCCGAACCCCGGACAACACGACGAGGGGCATACAGCAGCAGCACCCGGTGCGTGGAGAGACGGGCCCGCTTTTTGACAGTTCGAGTGTGGGGTCGCCGCAATTTGGAGGGGCTGCTCGGGAGATGTGGCGGTAATTGGGCGGGAGGAACGATTGCTCCCGGCAGAGTGTTCTTCCCCCACCTTTGGGCAGTCAATTCAGCCAGCGCTCCGGAGTTGTGATTTCACGGGACATCGAATGATAAGATAGCTTCATCTGCTGGTTCCTGCTTGAGGCTCTGAAAAGAAGTGGATTAGGTAACTATGGCCTCGTATGATACCAATGGGGATCATGATGCTCAGTCGTTGTCAAGCGACACTCGATGAGTGATCGTGCGCCAAGTATCTGGGTGCTCCGTGCTCCGCGACGACTGCCGGGCCACGATGCCGAAAGACCGGGGAGAGGAGTCCAGAGTTGCCAGCCGGACACCGGCCGGGGGGACACGAGAACCTCGGGAGCATCTTGACAAGGCCCGCGCGGCAAACGAAAGTCATAAATGCGATTGACCAATCTGTTCATCCGGAATACCCGAACAGAGGGGCGTTTCTCGTTTGTGTTAGTCAAGCAAGTCAAGTTTCCGGGGGCTGGCTAGTACGGCACAAGCGACAGGTCTATGATCACGTCTTACTTCGTCCATCAATATGTATGTATATATCTCGATTGGCTGTGAAAAGAAGGGAGGTGCGGCAAGGGATCAGAACCTACAATGATATAGACGAATGCTCGAATCAGGCTGTGGCTACAGACCATGACTTCCGTCGCAAAGCGACGACTCTTATGGAGAGCAATAGTCATGCACAGAATCTCGGCGTCAACAGAATGGTTACAAGATACGGACTGACATTTCGGAATGCTTGACTGTACAAATAAACTTGCCATGTGCGTATCAAGCCTGCTATGGTCTACTCGTCGAGACCCTGTTCGTCATCCCGAGTCCCCTTTCTGAATCTACATCTGAGAGAGCATTGGCACTTCTAGGTGAGGTTTCGTATCTGCTCAGTACGTCCTGGTCGTCGCGCGTGCTTAAGCCGTCTTTGACGTGAGATACCCATGTCCTCGCCTTCGTTTCAATCTTTGTCTCAAGCTGTTGTTGCCTCTGGTCAGCTCTGGCTGTATGCTTACACTGAGGTGGAGATCATAATTCTACTAACCTCAGTAAACTTGAACAGAAGCCACACAACAGAGGTCAGAAGCGAGGTGACTGCGGCGAAAGGAACATAAGTCCACCAAGCAGGCTTTTTGCCGTCCAAGATGTCTACGTTCATCCCAAACAGGGTCTGCATGATGGTCAGTATTCATGGGCAGCAGAGAAGTTTTGAGTCTTACCCCTACGAATGTGAGAGGGAGGAAGGTAAACTAATCAGTTAATTAGCGCTTGCATCATGGTAGCATGAGGGGGGGCATCACTGTGATCCAACTTAGTCTTTTCATGCTCCTCGATGAACTGACTGAATCTCGCGCCTCCTTGATAGAGACGAGGTTGCATTCCTATCACTAAGTAAGCTGCGTTCGCAAGAACCGGACAGCATTATTCACCAGCTGAATGAGATCTCTCGAGTTTTTATCGAGTTCCCCGAGCTTCTCTCCAACAGTGATAGAGAGTTGATATATCGCCTCTGTAAGTCCTTTGAGTTCGCGGGTCTCATTATGCTGCAAGCAGTAGTAAGTCGCAAATTTCTGGATCTTCAGAATGACTTTGGACAGTTCGTGTCGATGACTGAGCCATCTCTGACCGTTCGTCATGAGAAGATTCAAAAGTGCTGGATTGGTGCCTTTGGATTCAATGATCCTTTTGCGAAGCTATTTTTTGAGGATGAGCAAATTGAGCGCTCGGGTGACGACCTGTATGAAGAAGGTAAACGCACCTTCAGATCGACCAGGTTAGCCTCGCAGTAAGCAAGCCATGTAGCTTTCACATGACCAAGAAAGTGTTTCAAGAACACCGCGCCGTTATCAGGAAGCCAAATGTGTGGCATGTTAGTGAAGTGTGCCTTTGTGTGCCATTTCTCGGTTTGCTCATCCCTGTAGACATCCCAGCACAGCACCAGATTCTTGTGAAGATGGCGCCCGTTGCCGTTTGAGGGATATTCGCTGTTATTTGCTGAGTTCCACATGAATGCCGTAACATAGTATACCCGATGGTTTTCCTCAATATGATCGTCTAATGACGGGGGAGAAATCTGGAGGTCAAATTCACCGATGTCATGGTTTCCGATTACAGATTCAAGCCAAGGTGGCAATGGGTTCATGCAGAGGATTTCTTGCTGCCTGTTCGATATGGTAAGTGCTCCATGCCTCAAATATAAATAGTCGTGGTACTGACAATGAGACTCTCCTTTTATCAGCTGAAGCGGCAAAAGGATTTGTTTCTCGAGGTTGCAGCTGTAGAACAGTGTTCTTGTTTTCTCGAGAGATCTCTAGAATCACCTCATTATGCCACGCTAGCGCCTTGCGGAACTTGAGAGTGTCCACAAAATCGGTATAGGCCCCCTTTTCAACAAGGAGGCGGACGATCTTGGGTTCGCGATTGTTGAGGGCTATACTGAGGGGGGTTTCACCTCCCATGTTTTCCACATTGACGTCCGCACCGGCGGACAAAAGATCACCTGTTATCTCAACGAGACCATGGCGTACGGCTTGGTGTAACGGAGTGTCCTTTGAGGCGTCTTCGATGTTGACTGCGTATTTGCCCTTGACCAAGACTTGGACCAGCTTCTTGTCTTTGGCCATGACAAGACGTGACAGCGTGGTCGTGTCACTGCGGCAAAACAGTCTGACAATCTTGTACTGTTTGAAGAAGGCAGCCCACCACAGTGGGGTCCGACCTTCTGTGTCAACGGAGCTCAGCGGAGCTGTTCCTTCACTGAGCATCTTTTCGGCGGCACCTTGGATCCCAAAGTAGGCTGCAAGATGCAGGCCGGTGACGTCCCGGGGAACCTTTTGCGAGTAGCCAGGTTCCCTGAACGGAGCATCTCTAATGAAGATTGCCTGGCTTGACATCGTCACCTTGAAATAGCTGTCCAAGAAGCTTCGAGCGGCGGCGATAGGTTCTGTGCATTCCTCAGTGTGATGAGACCAGTGACAAGCAGCGTAGAGAAAGAAGGGATTGCGTTCAAGTCTTTTCTCGTATTCCTCATCTGAATGGCAGAATCCATCGCTGGAATAAACCCTTGTCAACTGAGTCAGACAATAGCTGACAATGGTGTCGTGTATTTTGAGGGCTCTGTTGCGTCTCTCGTGGAGAAAGTACTGCTTCAGAGCACTGTGGTAAAAGCAAATTGACTGTTGTCCTGGCTCCCCGTCGACTAAAACAAATCCACACAATGCCGAAATAATCTCAGCCGGCTCTGGAGGGCCTGAGAAGTGCTCTGAGTTGTCTGCTATCAGGGCATGCTGGAGCTCCGGTATCGTGAGTTCTCGGGCAGAGAACGTCAGCCAGTCGATGGCGTGGGGGGCGAGTCCTGCTTGAAGCCGCTTTTGACGCGGTTCTATCAATCGGCCGAATATGCGGTCCAAGTATCCGGGATCCCGGGTCCAACCTTTCAAGAATTGTTGAAAGTCGTACTTGGTGCGCATAGGTGAAAGTAGTTCGACGACGCCATCAGCGATGCCAAATCTGTAGCTTCTTAGCGATGAACCTTCATTTGATAGCGATGAATTATGACTTACATCCCCTTCGCTTCCTTGACGATGTTTCTGTAGAACTCAGCATGTTCTAGGTTAGAGAGCGACCCGGGCGGTTGTACCCGGGCGGTGACAAATTGTGTCAGGTCCGTGTCCGAGGCTAAGAAGGTTAGGGACGTGTCTGCGGTCGTCACAGAAGCAGTGAGCGTCGAGGTTGCGAAGATATTAAGGGCGATCTTATCGCGAAGGCCGCTCAGTTTGGAAAGAAGGTTTTGAGAGATCTCGAGATCAAGTCTGTCAAGTCCATCCAAGACAAGTGAGACTTTGGATTCGTCCGTTCCAGACTTGGTACGGCTGTAACACAGCAGCATCTCAAGAGCCTTCATGTCGCGGTCGTCAGTGGTATTTTTGCCCTCCATAGTACTCGACAGTCTGGCCAGTAAAGCCATGTCATTGCTGTAGTCAATTTGAGCGAGGACTTGCTGTATCAGATGCCGTATGAGTTGATCAACTCGTTGGATGTCGTTCTCGCAAAACAAGAAGAGGACCAGCCTCTCTGAGCCTCTTAACTCTTCTATTACCGCCGCAGCTAGAACAGACTTGCCCACTCCCGGCGGGCCAGTACAGAATAGTGTCTTGTTCTTCTCATTTTTCCATTGACAGTATGTCTCACCTTGCAAGAACCAATTGCATGTTCCTGGATGGCGAAGGCGGAGGTTCTGGTCAAACATCCCTGCCATATCATTACCAGAAAGTAATGTCTTTTGAAAGGCGTCCCATGTTTGGAACGTCATACTGGGATGTGATAGGATGTCTTGAATATACTTGAACTGCTGTGGAAAAGACCTTGGTGGAAGAGGAAAATGAGACGCGAGAGATGCCATGAGAATGGAAACACGCGATATATAACGTCCGTGGATGACTCGGACGAGGCAGGCTGGCAACGAAACTCTGCATTTTCAGCTTGATTTTAGTCACGAGTCGTCGAAAAAGTGTGCCTTGAGCGCGTAGAGCATGCCACGCCGCGAATCCAATGAGACGCGGTGTCTCAGATTCTGTTGGATAATAGTCCCCAAAACCTTGTAACACAGCGTCAATATAAGCCGAAAAGGCTTGAGTGAGATGCAGCCACTTACCTTCGAGGAAAGGATGTGAAGGAAATGACCTGTAAAGCGAGGAAATGCAGGTTTCTGCTAGCCTGACTTTTAACGTAGCAAGAAAAGAGGGTGTTGCGATTGTCAAGATCCTACAGCCTTGCTTGTTTTCTCCCGCATCTAAGGATCGAGAGGAAACAACCACCAACAGCGGGAAAGCATCAAGAAAATGACGACCAAGACACCAAGTACTTTGTGTTTTTCTAACGTTTTAGTTTCGAATTGCTTTGCGACAGCGCATGATGGGAGAGATAGCCGGGCTTCCAGGATTGTGATGGTATGGCCTCACCGAGGGTTGCCAAGTCAGCCACGTTGACCGAGGGCCCAAAAGTTTGGTGTCATGCAGTTTCCTAAGACAAAGCATACAATGCCCCTCATTGGAGAGGTGGATCTTATGCCGAGACTGAAAGCTCGCTTGACTGTGCCCCCTCTGTCTACCTTAGACACTCTGATGCCAGAGTCATGGTAATGGTACCAAAGTAGTAAATCCAGCCAACCACATCAGCACGACGAACATTAACTCCGCACTCCATAATCGCTGTCTAGTTTTGCGGAGAGACTTCTGTATATTAATTCCAATGAAAAGAGGGGTATCTTGGGGCGTTACAAATACAGATGTCGAGTTGGGATACACATTCATCTTACAATTCCTCAGTTCCCTCCTAGCAGCCCTAGTGTGCCACATCCGATGACCGCTCATACAACGCCTTGAACGAAGACTCGCTTCCCAATAGCTGCCTAGGCTCCCCGTACTCAACAACTGCTCCTGAATCGACAACCGCAACTCGGTCAAAGTCCAGTATCGACTCAAGCTTATGTGCGATAGCGATGATGGTCCAATCTCTGAACCACGAACGGAGCACCTCGTCGATGATCTTACTAGACTCATCGTCCAGACTATTCGCACAAAAGGTTAATCTCTTTCGTCCACTCTCGGTAGGATAAGTGCCAACTTGAACACCTCTACGAAAAGGGAATAGAAAAGATGGAAACTCACCTGCTCGTAATCTCGTCCAAAACAAGCACCCTCCCCTTCCTCAACATAGCCCTCGCAAACACCAACAACTGCGCCTCACCCTGCGAGAAGAACTTATCGTCAATCACGGCATCCAGACCACCGCGCTCCTTGACTTTCTCCCAGAGCTGCACCCTTCTCAAGACCGCTGTGATATCCTCGTCCGACGCTGTCTGGCCGGGGTCGAGATTCAACCGCACGGTGCCGTCGAAGATATAGGACTCCTGTGGGACCGCGACGATCTTGGAGCGGACGTATTCGTGGGGCAGCGTGGCGGTGTCGACGTTGTCGATGGTGATTGTGCCCGAGTCTAGGTCCATCATGCGGAGGAGGCAGAGGATGAGGGAGCTTTTGCCGCTGGAGGGAGTGTTAGATGTCTTTCACTGGTAGGGATAAGGGGTGGTTGATCACTTACCTGCCTGTTCGGCCGCAGATTGCAACCTTTTGACCTGGTTCGATTGAGATGTTTACATCTTTAAGTACGGTACCAGATGATCTATTACAACGTCAGCTTCACACTCTTAAGTTCCGGTTCAACGATTCTCTAAACTTACGCATAGGACGCCGTCACTTTCCGAAGCTCAACGGCTCCTCGACTCGGCCACTCTCCCTCTGGCTCCGCACGCTGCCCACGAGAGTCGTCCTCAGACGCCGTAGTCAAAGAAAAGTTCCTCACCCTCGCAACCGCGCCAAGCGAAACCTCCAACATGACCCACGACGTGATAATCGCCTTGACGCACCCACTAAACGCCAACACATTCGTCAACGCAACACCAATGAACCCGGGCCCAATTTGTTCGCGCAGCGTCGTGACTAATACAATGAGGACAACGGCGATGACGGCAATCACCATGTCAACCGAAAACGTCAGCCAGCTTTGTAGGCATGCAAGGAGGTACTTGGGTCGCTGTGAGTCGTCGAGCCGGCGGAGGTTGACCTTTTCGAAATTGTCTTCCCAGCGAAAGGCTCTGATTGTCGCTAGGCCTTCGAGGGTTTCGATGAGTTGGGAGTAGAGGGGTGCTTTGTGCTCGATGTCGAGGAGGCGCATCTGTCGCGAGGTGCGGAGGTAGAAGTGCTGGATGGCGTAGAAGGTTGGGATGAGGAAGGGGAGGATGGCGGCCATGTAGCGTGAGGAGACGGACATTACTATGAAGCGTGCTACGCCGAATGCGACGCCTAGGATTGGAAGGTTAGTTGGGCTTCGGTTTCGTTAGAGATGGAAAGAGTCTTGCGTACCTACGGCCAGGCCGAGTGCTGCGGCGGGCAGCTCCATGTCGATGAGCTGGAGATCTTGGCTGAATCTGTTTACTGTGATGCCGCTGTCCACTGAACTGTGAAATGTCATGGGCGCACTATCTCTGTTAGTATGGACAGCAAGAGAAAAGTCGGTTGTGTACCTCACCGAGACGTGGTGTCTAGTAGAACGCCGTGGAAATAGACTCCCGACTTGTTGATGATGACAATGAAAAGTTGCCTAGATGTTTTCGTTATCAACGGCTCTGTAGAGCATTGCGGTGAAGTATGTGCTCACCACATTCCAAAGAGCACCGAAGCCACGGATCCAACTCCAAGAGCCGCGTAGACACCAAGCCACTTGCCCAGATCTTGGTTCGGTCTCTGCTCATTGGACTCTGCCCACCACTTGAGCCAGATATCTGACCATGAATTCATTAGTCTGATGATTTCCACATCAATAGACCCTTGGGGGAGATTACCGGGAAATGAGTCGCAAAAGGCAAATACAATCATGGCGCCAGCAAAGGTCGATAGGCTGAACCACCCAGCTGCCCTGGCATAGAAGCTATACATCCCCCAGTCGCCGAGTTGACGAGCGGAATCTGCTTGGTCATCGAGTAGGCCGAGGATCGTGGCTGGTGGTTTATCGTTTGTTATTGTTATCGGTGACACCTTTACGCTCTCGCTATCACTCGTGCCGGCGCGTTTGCCTGAGGAGGATGGTTGTCGGGTGACTTTCGTGATCGCCTCGTTGTCTATAATTCGACCCTCATCGTTAAGAAGTACGACGTCATCGGCAAACGGCACACGGCGAGCTGTCAGAGGGTCGTTAGCACTAAGCCATGTGAGGAGTCAAGGAGGTCGTACAATCAGATGATGCTAGAATGACAGTAGTATCTGTGTGGCGGAGCAAACCATTATTACCGAAGAGGTTATTGAAGACAATGTCTTCGGTGCTAGAGTCTAGGCCGCTGAAAACGTCGTCAAGCACCAACAACTCTTGTCTTGCGTACAAAGCGCGGGCAATGGCCTGCCATAGTGTTAGCTTCACTCGTCTCCCCAACTCCGAAACAAGCTCAATGACAGACCAGACGATGCTTCTGACCACCACTCATGGAAATCCCCTTTGTTCCCGCCACGGTACTGTCTCCATTCGGCCAGCTAGCGATATCTTGCTCCAAAGCACATGCCTTGATGACTTTGTGGTACCAGGCCGGATCGAACGCGGCGTGACCGGTAATGATGTTACGCACACTGTCGTTCGGTATCCACGCGGTTTGGCCGCAGTACGTGACGCCAGAGAAGTTGATGGAAATGGTGCCCTTGAAGGACGATAACTCGCCGAGTAAACACTTTAGAAGCGTCGACTTGCCGCAGCCCACAGGCCCGAGTACCAAAGTGAAAGCTCGTCGCCGGACGTTCCAGTTGTCGATGTCGATAACAGGCTTGGAGTCGTCTGACCAAGAGAATGTTCCCTTTACAGAGGCGATGACACTGAGGGGCAAATCGGCGACTGGCAACTCACTTTCATGCATGTCGGACAGCTCGACGTCTGGGCCTAGACCAGCAGCTTTTGGGGACTCTGTCACGGATTTCCCAGCCCCGGCGATTTTGACACCCTCGCTAGCGAGTCTGGCGTCAACTCTTTCCTTGCCGTTCAAAAAGTCTTGGATTCTCTGGAAAGAAGCCATGGCAGAAGCCAGGAGCGGAAGTCCCATGACGATGCCGACTAATGGCTGGTTCACCAGTATCAATAAAGAGTACGCTGTGAATGCCTTTTGGATCGTCAAAGTATCGCCGGTTCGAGCCGCCGTTGCAACGAATGTGCTGAAGGTGAGTATTGGAGACCAGATCGGCGTGCAAATCACTTGAAAGGAGCAGTCTCAGCGTACATGTCACGAAGAGGCAACGCAGGAAAAAAAGCTTACAAAACATCATGGAGATGCCCAACAGTACCCTGAATCTCTTGGAGACCTCGAGCTCTACGGTTCGAAGCTTTTGAATCACTGAAAAGGCAACATCATTGAGGCCAGAGATCTTGAGCCATTTGATGTTCCCCAGCGTCTTGGAGGTCGTTGAGACGCGATCTTGCGAGGCTTTGATCCATTCCGCGGATGCTTTGCCGGTAGGAACAGCGAGAAAAGCTGTGGCAAATAGGACAACTGCCGATATGCATCAGATTCAGAGTATCTCTCAGCCAGCGAAGCTGATATGGCATCCTACCGAAAACGAGGGCAACGGGCATGGCACAGGCAGCCCCAAGCTGCCTGTAAATCAGGTAAATCCCGATACCAATCTCGACAAGTCCACTCCAGACCTCGTGAAGCTGCATGATGCCCTGGCTGATGGTCTCGCTATCGGTTCCAACTAAAGTCAGAGCCGCGGAAGG